AAAAGGCGTATCCAATCTACGAATCATGTTATTTCTGAGCTTAGAAAACCACTAATTTTAATTAATAAGATGACACATTGCATAGCTCAATATGCTCTTACTATTTTGGATCACTGAGGTTGGCTGGAGTAAGAACCATATGTTGGCTCACTGGTACAAATGAATAACTAAAAATTAAAATTATGAAGACTCATTTGGTTAGGAGTGCATCAGTAAGGGGGAGAGAGTGTTCCATGCGGCAACATACACATTGAGTCCGATGGGTTACAGTTTCTAATAGATGATTATATATATTAATGTAGGATAGAAAATAAAAATTGTTGATGGACTTCAACTTATTTATTAGTGAATTCTTACTTAGAAATTTTGTTCAATTTTTTTTATCATGTATCTGATGCGTCATATGTAGGGAGCGAAATAACTTCGATTCGTATCTGTATGAGAAAACTGGAAACGTGGTCCAATTGTTCCACCAAATTTGTTTTGGGTGGAAGTAATCTTAGCGGTATCACCTGTTTGCGTTATATATTTGGTTCATCTGGAAGGAAAAGGCACCGTCTATAGTTAGTGAGGTACAGTGCCAATTGGAATTGAATTGTGATGTGACCTTCACATTTCAAAGCTAGCTTGAAACATTGGAAAGAAGAATGAAAGATGATCCTCATGTCATGCATAAAAGAGCTCCCTTTCATTGATACGTGATGGGTGGTGGCCATGGCAGGGCCTACAGAAGACTTTCGCAAAGGCCGAGTAGTATGTGCATGTGGACCCGCGATTTACAGAGACGGGTGGCTCAAAGAGTGGAAGGTCCCACAGTCACAAGTGGACCCGCGAGTCCAAACTCGTAAACTTTTCGTGCTGACCAAACTCAGCAGTTGAGATTCATTCAGCACTCAGCACTCAGCACTTAGCACTCCTTACCCTCGACTCGATCGATCCAAGATTGAAAGCGACAAAAGTAGGCACTTATAACATAAAGAAAACACTAACGAACCTACTCACAAGTCAAAAGTAGTTACAAGACAGCACTTCCATTGCGATTAGTTGCAATGGGTAGGCCTTGTGATCTTCTGGAACAGCAACAGAGCTTTTGGTTCATTTGATTTGAATCATCAATTTCTACCTTATCGTTCAGATTCTCAACCTGTAATGTAGGGTTCATTTGATTGAATCAAAATCACTAGAAACTGGAGATCGATGTTTGGCATTTACAAATTAACAAGTCTCAACAAGTTTATAAAGTGTACTATTTATGTCACTTGAAATTATTCATTAATTATTTGACTGGCCCTACAACTATACGTTGTTATATGTGGAGACCAATACGAGAGCATCCATGTTGCTTCTTGGTTCTAATCTGTTAATTTTTTTATCGAATTTCTAAACTTGTGATTGATGTATGATGTATGAAGTTTTTGGATGAGCATTGGGTACTCAAGTGAAGTCGCGACGCTCACAATAAAAAAAAGACTTGTCAGCCAACTGCCAATATTTGGGACAAAGAATTCCATAGAAATAATTCAGACATTGCATCTACTACTGCAAAACAAAAATAGGTGTGGTGTCACTACTCTGTCGTAGCCTGCCTACCTTAATTCTAACCTCCCCCTAATAACATAACCCCAATATATATATATATATATATATATATATATATTAGACATTAAGTAATGAATCTCATCTTACAATACGACTAAATGGCATGACATAAGAAAGTTTATTACATAACTACATTTATACTCCCGATGCATGCGTTATTCTATTTCAGCCTCGTCCATTTGTTCTAAAACAATGGGGAGGCAGTAGTTTCCAAAAAAAAAAAAAAAAAAACAGTGGGGAGGCAGTAGTCCACGCAGTATAAGTTGGGCCTGATATATATACATAACAGCAGTTGGAGAGTTAAAGATTGGACAATCTAGCTTTTTGTGATTTTCAAGCTTGCGAAGCTAGGTACCACCAATGCCACCCAAATTTGAACCCAACACGAAGCACGCTTGCTCGATCGCTCCACCTAAGTAGGCGTATACTACCAAACAGTCTGTTTCACCTTTCGGTTAAGATTGATGCAAAGATTGATCTCCAGAGATCCCATCCATGGTCCACCACCATTATATATTTGACGATATTCCACTAAATTATAATTTCTTCCAAGGCAATGCCCTTGTGGTCTAACGCTGTGCTGACCTGACCCGGCCCCCTATCGTATAAAGCCAGCTGGCTTCGTCGTTCCCACTAAAGTAGTGCCATATATGTATATATATCTATCTGTCTTTGATGCCCCCTTTAAGTTTTCATTTGTAAATTCGTTCATATTCACATGTGTCAATTTGAGCAATGTTTTATTTCTAACTGCCAATGCTTCACAGTGGAGCGAGACACTTCTTTATTTTATTTTGTTTTAATACAAGCAATTTACTCTTAAGAGGAGGAGGGGTATGAAATTTAAACGTGGTGAGTTGAACTCGAGTGGGATGGTGTTGAAAATAAAGTGTTGCCTTAATAATGTTATGTTTCCAACTAAGCTAAAAGAGCAGCCCTCGTTGAGATAGGACCATATGTTAGTTATCGTGCATGGTCCATATATATATGAATACATTCTGCATCGAGCGAGTAGGAAAACGGATCTCAGGTCATCACTGTTTTGGTCACCACTTATCACTGGCTATATAAGGCCTTGACAAATACATATTGACATTTGACACAGACCACCAGCTCAAAAGATGACAGGGCTTTGGGGGTGGTGGTGGTGGTGGTGGTGGTGTGGGGGGGGGGGGTGTGGGATGGTGTGGATATCTTTCTCCAGTAATTAGATGAGTGGCTGTCATACCATTATCTTTCTCCAGCCATTTCATGTGGGTTTCTTAACTTTGATTGTCCAATTTTGTATCATTTTTCTTCCACTGGCTTTACTATTATAATTAATTTCAACCGTTAATATTTTTGTGCCTCTACATGCACTTGAGAGTTCTGCACATCGATCGACATAGCATATAATCCTATAATATATGTCTAATCTCTTCTCTCTTTTTGGCCCATGCATGTTCAAGCCCAATATATGTTTTTTTGTTAACACCAAAAATCCTGAATATGTTTGCTGCCATTTTAACAAACAATTTTGCTCACAAAATATGGAACTCGTTATAGATTAATGTATCATGACTACTTTTTCCTTATCTCAATGTTATCTAATAAAAATTATCAGGAATGAAAATAATTCATTAGAGTTCCAAGAATTTCATCATGCAACTAATAAAATTTGAAAATAGAGGGTCAATTTGAAATTTAAGATTCATCACTGAGAAGGTTTACTCGAGCCGTCGAGTGTCTTAATACGTAGTCCGATCCCCGCAATAAGAGATGACATTCAATACAAGCCTAAATTAAGTAGGTAGGGTTCACTATAATTTCGTAGCTAGGTTTATGTTAAACTCAAGATTTCTATGTATCATACCATGATACATAGCAGGTTCGTCACCATTGCAAAATCTTAAGCGATCACATACATGGGAGTCATGTAAGAGTAAACTAGACTTGAAAAATTAATACACTAGCCAAGAACACAAGGATTAATCAACTAAATCACAATCCTTAAATTATATATGTAATATAAGTGTAAGAATTGCAGCAATTATACCAACACATACCTGTAGACATGTTCACGGATAAAGAAGCCATGAAAACCTGCACACAACCTTCTCCTCTCTGCAAAACTCAATGCTCTCCAACTTATAGGTAATTGGAACAATAAGAGTGTGTTTTTGTGAAAGCATTGGCTTGTGGTTTTATACTACAAGACCTGGATCGCCTTATAACAATCCCACAAGGAATACAAGACTGCATTTCTTCTATCAATATGAGTCCTATAAACGGGCAAACACAAGAGTCTTCAATATACCAATATGATTGGATTAACTCTTATCAACATGATTTAGACTTCTTTATAATATCAACTATCCCAAAATTTGTAAGAATCATACTCATACTCTTACAAGTCAAACAAACAAATATTCTTTGATATTGATCAACTGGTGGTGAGTAAGTTATACTGGGAGAGAAAGTCGATTAGGCAATTAAGGTTGACAATCAGTTTCCTTGACAAGAAAAACGGACGTACAACTATGAACAAGTAGTGATCGATAATTCGCACTTATTAATTAGAAATAGGGGCAACAATTGAAGATTTCCGCACCTAATAATTAGGAGGGATGAATGTTAAAATTTCACCTAAAAAATAACGTTGCTATTAATAAATAGGGGCAAATAGTTACATATTAAAATGATTCATACTTCAATTGATTATATACAAATGATACAATTATCATGAAGAAGTTTAAATCCTGTAGCAGAAACAAATGGTATTCTAAAAAAATCTTATGTCTAATCAATCTTATATCTCCCAAAGACAAAATGATGCAAAGTTAAAAATGTGTATATTCCATGATTCATCCTTATAGGTACACCACAGAACATAAAAGCAAATTAAAATAACACTATTTTCAGAAAAATAAGAAACAAAACAATCAATTTATCTAAATGGAAAAGATCAAATGCTTATGTTTCCCAAAAAAAAAAAAAAAAAAAAAAAAGTCCAATGCCTACTTCACATATTCTGTTCCTTCGATCTTCTTCTTTCAATCGATTAATTATCTGTCTTTAATCACAATGTTCAACACTTCTAATAATTCACGCAGCAAATTAAGGAAGGAGCTTCTTGATCTTACTTATATGTCATACACACTAGAATTCACAATTAGGGTTAGACTCTTTAGAGCATCTGATACAAACTAGGTCAAGGAACTCATTATTATGGGTAAGGCTTCAATATTACGTATCATTCAATGTTACGAGGATTTTAGTCGTTAGATTTGATTTGTACACCTACTTAGATCTTTTTTTTTTAAATCTTAGTCATTAATTTCACATATTATTCAATACTACGTAGTATTAAAAAAAATTACATTAGTACATGACGACATATATAATTCAAACTCCGACCAACGTAAACTTACATATATATATATATATATATATATATATTGGATTGATGCCCAAGGGTGGCACGCATACACTCTTAATTAATATATAAGTTGCAATATTTAATAGTTCAATTATTAATTACCACATGTACCTAGAAAATTGCAGATTTAGGCATGCATGCATGCGTCTTACTGCACGCATATACATATATAGCAGTCACATAACAGAGCATGCATTAGGGTTTTCATCGCTGAAAATCTGAGGGTTTGGATACGATGAATAATCCGAGTAGTACTTTGTCGGCCAATATTCACTTCGCTTGATATCGACCTTATTATCCTCTCCCTGCTTGTCTTCCTCCCCTTCTTTCGTCTCTCCTTCTTTCTCGGCTTCTTTCTTCTCCTCTTCTTTCTTTTCTTCTTCCTTCTTCTCTTCCTCCTTCACAACAGAAACCTGCTTCCTGGTTTTTTTATACACCTCCTCAGCAAGCTTCGCCGGGTCCACTACGCCTTTTACTACAACCTCATTATTAGCTACGTCTGTTTCCACTGATTCCACTCCTGCAATATTTAATTTAACATGCACCCTCCAAAATATTACAGGTTGATCTGGTAAAATAGTTCAACAATTTAGGCTGCGCTTTAATTACATTCGGAAAAAATGTACTTCCCTGCCTTGCAGGCGTTCTATTATTATAGGGTTTAATTGCTATATTAATCACCTAGAAAACAAGAAATAATTCATTCAACTAATATCAAATTTAATCCATACTCATGATGGAATATCAAATGTTAGACATTTTGTCCTTAAGGCAAGTTTACGCCCCACTACAGTGCTTATTGTGGTTGATCGGCGTTGTAATAATAGCATTCTAAATCATAAGGATCTAATGAACCACAATTGTGCTAAATACTCTCATGTAAGACTCAATGAGACATTATAAAAGTCTCTAAGTACATATATAGTGAATGGATATGTAAATATGAAAAGTGATTAAATGAATATATGGACTTTCCGTATTTATAGAGCTTGTCATTTGAATTTCATGTTTTGAGGGACACATTTTCCACCAAAAGACACCACTACCAATTTCCATTCAATTAATTTAATATATAATAATAATTTAAATTTCCAACAGGAATTGCGTTTCACAGTGCACTACCCCCAGGTATTAAATCCTAAACCCATAATGTGTGATTCTTTTTTTTCATTTGAATAAAACTATTTGTACTACATCAGTACGCTATGCATGCGGTAAAGAAGACTTATATTAATTGAATTGAAACAAATATATGTAGGCTTAGAGAAAGAAAGATTAGACGGAAAAAGTACCTTGGATCTTTCGAATTCGCTTCTGTAAAACTTGAGCGCACGCTTCGCAGTGCATTCGAACTTGCAATACCACTGTAACAACAGCAGGAGGCTGACAAGATCGAACGTTGAATTATATAAATAATTTGTCACTTGTCACAGATAAAATTCTGAATGGTATGATCAAATAATTGATTCTTTACCAGAAGATCGGGTTTTACTAATTGATTAAGCATTATTACTTAAACTACACATATAGATTCTTGGTCTAATGACGTTGTCTTCTGTAGCCAGACTTGTGGACTTTCTACGTACATCACTGGTTTCTTGAATACATATACGTGTGTGTATATGTGTGTGTGTGTGTGTGTGTGTGTGTGTGTATTAGATTTGTTTATTTCATTGGTAATGTTGATCTATATATACGACAATGAAGGACAAGAGTAAAGATGGACATGTGATGCCAACAATCGCAACTCCCAATGTGAGAAAGTGGGATACATACTGATGCAACAGACTAAATATACGACAACCAGCGTCCATGGCATGATGCTATTGCAATTTACGTTTGCATATGCACTATAAACATGTGTATTATTGTGGCCCTTGTGGGAGTAGAGCACATGTTTCTTTCATTTTATTCGTTAAATCATACATAAGGAAGAGCAATAGCTATATATAGCCTAAAGAGTCGTAGGAAGGCATATGTTTTTCATGTTACATAGGGGTTGCAGCATGTACCCCTGACCCCCGGCACTCATGGCCAACGCCCAATTGCCCATGGTTGCTGCAGCATATGTTTGTAAGTACAACATACAGCTGAGTATGGTAGTATGGTAGGGTTGGTGCCTCTTTGGTATAACACAAAATCTCAAGAAGAACACATATTAAGTGACGTTGGAGTACATGCGTATATTTTATTTGGTTAATAAAATACATGAATAAAATGTTCTAGTATAAGAATATGAATGTCCAATTCAAATATGAAATATAGAGTCTCAATTTCTATTAGATAAGGCTTTAATTTCCCAAACCCCTCAACAACTCTCAAAAAACCTTCCACGGTATGGACCATGGACATTGGACATAAGTTATTCTGCGATTTTGTATACATTGGACATAAGTTATTCTGCGATTTTGTGGCCATAATACGAGAATCAAGTCAAAATGAATATATCATTATATTTTTGACACACGACAACAGTATATATGTATCATACAAATCATCTAGCGATTAGTATTGGTTTTGTGAAAAGGACTTTCTTGGATACTTCAACTATTATGTTATTTTAAGTATTTAAACAGTTAAATCTTTATTTGCATATATAAAAATTAAGAATTAATAATTAAAACACTTGAAATACCGAAAACCCTAATGTGCCTGAGAATTTTTTCTTGTGAGGGACTTGCATCTGGATGGTGAATTTCGTGGAGGTGGGGCTGTAATTTGCTGACTTTGAATTGTTACTTTCATGTCAGTATTTAAAACACTAGTCACGATATTCACTGTTCTAGAGAATCGAGCCGACCCCATCCCTCCATCCATTGGAGATTGGGACATGATCCTCTCCGGATCCGGTTGTCTCAATCTACTAAGTTAAATTATTCAGATCATTGAAATTTGATCTAACTGTTAAAGTTATTATAATTTTTAAAGTGAGCTTTTATTTGTAACATTTTAATCAAATTTCAATGATCCCGATAATTTGACTAGTTGAATTAAGACAATTGGATCGAGGATCCATGTCCACACCATCCATAAAAACCCTAATTAATTCGTTCAAACTTAAACTTAATATATATGATTATTTCATGAGTATGTTAATGTCTCATTAGTAATATATAACGACAATCTTATGGTGGAGAGCCAGTGCGTGAAAAAATAGCGAGTAAAAATGTGAAAGTAGCTTTGAAAGAATTACCTCCTCCTTTTTCTCTTCCTTGTCAGCTTCTTTAACCGGTTGGTCCTCCTTCTTCTCCTCTGGTGGTTTAGGCAAAGGTGAAATGAGCTCCACTTTTTTGCCGCTTTTCTTTTGTAATCTTTCGCAGACCTTTATGGGGTCTGCCGCCTTCCCTTTCACCACCACCTTACTCATCTTGCTGTCTGTCGTTACATCCTCCACTCCTGCAGTCCACCCACCACCGTCCACCACGAATTAATTACATTCAAATACTCAAAATTCAAACTACTTGCACTAACCCCTCCTCGTACCTTTTTAATTTCTTTCTGATTAATTATGAACGAAAAGAAATACACTTGAAAAAGTATTTTCTTCAAGAAAAACGTGCGAAACATGAACTACACTAAATACAAAAACACTTTTAAACTAAATTATATGTATTTTCCTAGCTCAATTTGTTTTATTCTTATACAATTAAAAAAATTGATGAGGGAGAGGTTGTCAGAATTCAAAAATTAAAGATGGAAATAATAACGAAAAGAACAAGTTTACCTTCAAAACCCTTCAAGGCTCGAGCAACTTTCCTTGCGCAAGCTTCACAATGCATATCAACCTTGAGTACAATCACCGGAGGCTCTTCTTCTTTCTTTTCTTCCTTCTTCTCTTCTTTCTTTTCATCTTTGCTTTCTTCCTTCTTCTCTTCCTCTTTCTTCTCCTTTAATTTGTTTCCATACAAAATATATAGTAAAACAAAAATCAACTAGAAAATTAAACTTATAAAATGCCACTTAATACATGAAGCTAATCTTTGTTCTGCCCAAACAAATTAATGTATAAATACACAAGAAACAACCAACAAGAATATTGGAAAAAGTTCGAAATATATCAAAAAATACAGCAAGCTGTTCAAATCGCGCGCGCACACACATAAATAAAGCTAGTGAATAAAACGAAGTATCGGCCAAATACTTACTTCGCCCATTTCTCTGGTGATATCTGAAAGTAGTTTTCTTCAGAAGATTGAATGAAGATGGATGCAGATATGTTATGCAATCTGGAAACAAAATGAAATATTCACTCTTTTGCTTTTATTTCTTTATCTCACTCCTCTCCTCTAACTCTTGGTCGGTCTCTTCTCTCTCCCTTCCTTTCTGGGGTGTGGGTGAAGAAGCTAAAGGACATTTAAGTACGTGAGAATTCTACGTGTCTGACGTGGAATTGTTTAATGCTGACTCAGCTTCTCACAAATTGCCCCTGCTTTCCTTCGAAATGAACTGCATGATCATTCATACTACTGTTGGTATTAAAGGCAGGGTAGGGACAAAAATCATTTTACCCTGACAAAAGGAGTAAATGTTTACGTAGAAATATATCTTTTTACTCAAATCGTTCGGTATAAATTCAGTAGTTTTTCATGGTCAAATAAGAAAACAGACGTTAATGCATGTGATTGATCTCTTTAGCCGGCCTGGACGAAAAAGCAGTGGCGGGTCACGGGTGGATATGATGGTTTTGTATAAAGATCTGATTTTTTTTTTTAAAGGAAAGTTTTGAGGTGCTTAAAAGGACAAAACCTTAGATTAAGGGGTCAAAGCAGTGTTATGATCGATTGTATACATTGCATTTGCATACTTTGAGAGATTTTGTTAACGTGTCGTGTTCCGAGCACACTAAAAAATCTCTCATATACTGCATTACTTTGATATAGACACACACATGTAATCACCAAAGGGAAATGATTGGCCAACCCTAAAAGCTCATGAATCCTGATAAGGTTCTCCTCCTACATCACTAACTTCAGTTTTGCAATCAAACAAAAAGTTTTCCCGACACTAATTAAGATAAAGTGCAGATAAGACCTTTTTTCGAATCAAATGTCAGCCTTTAATCAACTTAGTTTTTCTTTTTACCTTTATGTAATAAACAATAATTGGATCTTTGAGATTTATTTTGTCAGTGATTTCTACACTCTTTTTATTTTTATACACTCAGGTCTCGCTTGTTAGAGAGAGTTAGCTTAGATAATATTGGTCATAATATTGAAGACATTTTGAAGAAAAATATGGATGACAAATTTCTTATTTGTCCAAGTTAAATGTTAATCATGAAGTAAACTTGTTTTTTAATCCTACACAGCCAACCTTTAACTTGGATCAAATATAAAATTGACATTCATTTTTTTCTTCAAAATGCCTTCAATATAGTGAATAATCCTCTTGAAATCAATCATCTCTGATAGACGGGCCTCATTGTATTATTCTTTGATTTATTCAATACAATTTTACAGAAATAAAAAAGAAGTCCATGAAAAATAGGAGAGTGCCGAAATTCACTTCCCATTTGTACAATGCTCATATTGAACGTTTTGATCCCAACATCGATCTTTTATTTGAATCTAACTACAAACTTAACAAGATGTTGTTTCAAGAATCACGGCATAAAAACTGAAAAATGAAAAACATACACTATATTTAATGTATTCAACAATTAACATAATTAGTTTTTTTCTCCGCATGTGGTACATTATCTTATTGGATAGGGTTTTGGGTTTTCATCTATTGTGCCGAGTTCAAAACCCCTTTCTTTTCTAAATTATTTTCATAGTTTCAAACCCTCTCTCCCATAATAATAATAATAATAATAATAATTAAAAACAATTAGTTTTTTCTCCGCTTCAGGAGAAAATGGGAGTTTATTGATTATTATGTTTGGAATGTTGATTACATTATGTAGAAGAAAGACAAAAAGAAGAAAGCATTATGCTCTCTTGATCGATCAGCATAAAAAAAAAAAAAAAAAACCAAACAAACAAAACAAAAAGATAAAGAATAAGAAAACGATTATACATGTGGAGCAGGAAAATAAGGCTGTCACAGCTCTTCTCCTCCCTCAATTTAGTAGAGGTGCTATAAATTTGTGTGTAGCTAGAAATAGGGTGGAACCCAAGCGGTCCCCAGGGTTTGGGATTCCAAGCTCCCAAGTGAATATCATGTGGACTAAACTAAAAGCCCATCTCAGGAAGAAATTTTTTATTATAACGAGAATATGAATGGTACATCACATATTTTTATGTAGATAATAGAAAATTTTACTTTTGAAGTTATTAATATTTTAACATATATATCTTACCATTTATGACACGTGATGTATCACTTCATGTGTTGGTCATATTGAAAAATCTCTCCATATCAGGGTTGCTCTGGGAATTGGGAAGGCCATCAACATCTGGAAAGAGGTGGTGGAATCCAGCGGGACCCATCTCATGGAAACCACTCACTCGCTCACTCTTCGAGGGTTATGTGTGTGATTCTCTCTGTGTGTCTTTATGTGTCTCTCTGTGAATTGTGATGATAAACATTATCGTCATCTAGTTTCCCATGCCATGAAATGAAAGTAGCAGTAAACCAGAAGGAAAAGGAAGATGAAAAGAAAAGGCGATTGGTATTTGGAGAGGGAGAGGGAAGGATTCCTGTCTTCACGTAACCAAGTTGGCCCTTGGCACCCAATCAATCACCAAAGAATCCCACGCACTCACTTTATTTAACCAAATTCTATACGAATGAAATTAATGAACAAGTACTAATTTACAAACTTTGTACATCAGTATATAATCCATTTAAACATGCAACAAAGCGTTGGGAAATCAGTCGTTTGCCAAAATTTGTTTGCAAACCCTAACTGGTATCTATTTACCAAAGAAACCTAAACAGGTAGTAGGCGAACCAGCAGATCAAAGTGGCACTCTAGATTCAACTCGCACAATTACCAACTCGAAATTTCAGTAATTTTCCAATTTGGAGCCTTATGTGATTCAAACGACTATATAGCCGAAATGAGTTTAGTTATATGCTACATACATATGCATATAAAAACAAGGAAGGGAAAAGAAGAATGAAGGCAATGGGAAAGCAGTCGGGCGTTATATGGATCAAAAGGTGATTCTAATATCTGATATTATAGAATCCTGAAAGCAAAAGCTTGTGATAATTCCACGACACCTTCGTAAATTGGAAAGCGGTCCTTTGCAACTTGATAGATGAAATGTGTCAACAAAATTCAGAAGGCCATTAAGCCGAAAACCTGACTACACAGAAGCCCGAAATAACTTCTTCATCTACTACTCGTATATGATATGTGTGATGGTAGGGTAGCTTATAGCACGGCACTCCAATTTCCCTATGTTCAAACCTTTGGGGTTTGATCATTTGGACTTGTGTCGGGAATGATATTTTGCTCTCTGTGAATTTTTTTCCCTTCAGCTGCTGAATTGATCAATTGCAATATCAACTTCTTCTTCTCCTATGGGAATGGGGTCAATATATTGGACAGACCAACACCATTCTTCTCTTATATGGATCTCTTATAAGAATGAGATGAGATGAAAGAGCTGGAATATGTTAACTATAATGTGTTATGTATAGACAGCGCTGATTATTCCTTTGTACAGTGCACTATACAAGAGAATATGGTTATTGGTTGCATGGTTTATCATTTTTCGAGCCAGGAAGCTTATATTAAACTGTTCGACCCAAGGGGTCAAATCCTAAAAGGGTTTTGTGCGTTAAGATTTAGGGTTTTCTTAGGCAGGTGGGTTGTACTGTATTCGTTGCCAACTCGGTTGGGTTATGTCAGTCTGGTGACTCAAATCCATCTTAAATTGTCACAAATCTGGGCTACAAAATTTTAGCATCGGCCCAAATTCAACATGGTAGTTTCTATTTACAAACTTTGAATTTTCTCTCATGCTAGCAAAAGTGTACATTACAGCTCTTGTAATCGAGGATTTATCAAATATAACAACAAATTAATTCTTAATTTAAAAAATATCACCTTTTATAAAAAAATTTAAATATATTTAAAATTCCACTTAAATAGACATAAATATTCTCAAATTTAACAATCAAATAAATTAAAGGTTTTTTAGCCAAAATGATTCATGACGTTGACATAACTCCTTAATCTGGTTCTTAATAATTAATGATAATCAATAGTAGTGTTCTTGAATTTGTCTATCGTGAATCATTTTAGTCTTTCTTTGAATTTGTCCATCGTGATCATTTTAGTATTTTTTTCATGAAAAATCTGTCAATTGTTCTGTTAGTGTGATGATGTAGCGTCACGTGGGTCTCACAAATACAATTATATAACGACATGTGAATTAACTTTAAAAACTATTTTTATATTTAAAACTAAAAATGATATTAGTAAGAAAAAAGGCATTGAAGGTATGATTGAAATTTTGATGTTCCCACTTGTAGTAACCATGGTGGCGCTCAATGTCGGTGATGAGGGGGTCCAAGGGGATAAGATTGTGGTGGTGGAGTGTAGAAGCAAAGGTGAAGTTGGACCGGAGCTTGAGGTGACAGTAGCTAAAACCCTTTAATTTATTTAATTGTTAAATTTGAAGGTATTTGTGTCTATTTAGGTCACATTTTTGAAATTAAATGTTAATTTTTTGCTATATTTGATAAATACTCCTTGTAATATGTATAATAAGCCCTCAAATCTTCACTTCTATTCCCCCCCCCCCCCCAACTCAACCTAACCCAAGGCTAAAATGTGGCCTAAAACCTAAAACTCAAATGGAAGTCAAATTTAGCCCAGGATTAATGGGGCTAACCCACCATATATGTATATTTTATTTAGTTTTCTATTTATAAATTTATTGAATCAAACGGTTAAGATCTAATTTGATGAAATTCAACAGTAAAAAAAAAATTTTAATTGTCAAAATTTAAATCTAATGGCTAAAACAATTATAAAAAAAAATCTTTCATTTGTTTCATATTTTTTCATAGTGTTTAACGAGTTTCATGGTGTCAGTTAGTGATTTTTCAGTATTTGTCAGAATCTAAATATTTCTAGGTTAAAATGTTCATAAAATTAAATTAGGATAGTCTACATAATATTTTATTTTAAAAAAGTTATTTTAAAAAGAAAAATTAGTCTAGATTCATTCTTTAATAATCTGATGCTAAAATTTTAAACCAAAATGGTTGGAGCAGAAAAACTATTTATGGGTTAAAATCTAAATTTTTTGAGCTAAAAATTTAGATTTTAAGCTAAGAATTGGAGATAGTCTTACAAAGTTACGCATCTGTGCGTAAAGCCACCAAAAGCCCATTCAATCAGGGGTGGTGTAAAGTAGTGTCGGCAGTCGGCACCAAAAATTAACGGATTGGATAAGACTGTGTCCCCACCACTTATCACTTCTCAAACCCTAATCCTATGGCTTTCTTTCTTTCATCATTGGTGGGTGGATTTATAGCTTAATACCACATCCTCCCGAGTCCAATTGCACTCATTGTTATTAGCATATGGTCACACATAAAGTGCGTGAGAATATTTTTTATTTTTGTTTTTGAAATAGAAGGAGAGAGGAAGAGAGAGAAAGAGAGTGATTGAGAATGTGGGAGTGGGGATTTTTTTTTTATTTTTTTAATTAGAGATGTTAGAATTACATATATGTGATGCTTTGAAAAAAAAAAAAGCAAAATTTGGTTGTGTGAAATTACATTTTTGCCCCATATTTTTTTATTCATAATTGGTAATTTCATAGGATTTAGATTGACAATAAGTGTTTTATTAATTAGTAAAGACGAGAGTTACCTTACTTTGGTTTTCACAACACATGACAACATAATGGTACACTCTTTGCTTCTTCTCTATTAATTTTTCTTATAAGTTACTTGTTTAACTATTTATAAACACATATAAAGTTTCTTTTTTTCTTGACGTGAGATTATCTCAATAATTTCAACAGCTGATCCCGTGCATCCACAAAAGACAAAACAATGAAACTCAAAGTAAAAGTTAACAAAGAAATGAATGAAAAAACATAAATATGTTCAGAATACAATTGTAATGAATATTTTTAATACATAAAATCAAATCAAGAGACAAAGTAAAAGTACAAGGCGCTTCATAAAGAGCCAAAGGATAACAAAAACTATTAGTATAAAATTATATTTCTTGAATGATAAGCTGATGTCACAAATATTTGGACATGATAACAACTTTTATTAATCAATCAAATAACAAGACAACACCCATTAATGTTGTGTAAAATAAGAAGATTAATTGAGCCGGCACGTATTACGTACATCATTATCTTGAAGATTTTCAACCCTAAGTTCAGCACACATGCATGCATGTTGTATAGAAAATTCACGACTTTTTGTATTTCCGCAATCCCGGAAGCCACTTCGCAACCACAAATTGTGAATTATTAGTAACCAGGCAATATACACCACCGACACAGTGCTATTGACTATAGTTAGGGTGTGTAGTGTACTACTTTCTAGTCTCTAAATCTCATTGCACCAAAAAGATAATTAAGTAAATTATTAATAAAATAACATAAAATATAATACAAAGTCTTATGTCCACTAATCCAACCCATATCGGTTGCATCGAAACGAAACATATCAAGTCTTATGCACAAATGAATGAGCTGTTATGCACTAAACAAATCTGGAAGGTACATATATGGCCTCACATTTTATTTAATTGCATGCTATATATTTTAGTAAAATAAATGGACCTCTGAAGCCCTAAAATAATAAGAAAAGATAAATCGGATTTATCAACGCGATCGTGTGAGGTGTGAGGTGTGAGGCAGATCTACCTCTATGAAACTAGGACTTATATATGAACGGTTTTCTGAGGTAGCAGCCACACCTTTGTCGTTTGGAGCCCATGCTTTTTGAATTTTGATCATCCGTGATTCTCTCCAGTACATTGTAGATAATAGGGCTTATTACATTCTTTTTCTTTTTTTTTTTTTAAATACACCGAATTCCACATGTATATGATGTATGATATATGTCAGTAGTATAAGGCAATCACTTGTTTGAAAAAAAACAGTTAAAACAGTCAAATATTTTAACTTTTAATGATGACAATATAAGATGGATTGCAAATTTGCAATTATGGCTTACCAGTTGCATCGAATTACCAGAAGTTTCTTCACCGGTTTAGATTAACAAACCAAATTTCAAGATGGGTGGCAGCTGGTACTTAGATCTAGGGACAATTGGAGGAATTTCCATGTGCCATGTGGGGGTGCATGATCCATAATTATCGACCTTGGAATATAGTTTATTTCAATAAACTTGATGATCATGAAATAATATTGGCAGTTATCCTCCACACCAAACTCTCTGTGCTTTAATAATTACAATTAGCTAGCTTAGGATGTAATTTTACTTTTGATACTGGAATCATGATGAATCATTTACTTAAACTGATATTGGCAGGACGTTGGAAATAGTATAGAATGTGAGGTGGGCGAATCGAAGCCTGAATCAAGGCCAGCACATGGATATGCAAAAAACTTGCAACTTTTAGCGATCATTAGAAAGCCACTACCTTCATATACCGACAACCCTAAATCATCATACCAAGAAATCAATCTTCCAATGTCGACGTGTTCGCATGTCATTGGCCATTTGTGTACAGAACTGTTGTGCTCTCTCTCTCTCTCACTCTTTCTTAAGAAGCAATTTGTCATAATTCTTCAATCAAATATTCCTCTCTTCTTCTCTTTCCCTTTGCTTTATAGTTTGTTCCACCAAATTGTATAGATATAAAAGTTGGTTCAGTGAGGGCAGTCCCATTCAGTCATTTTCGTTGAGAGGTTCTGGTTCAGATCTGAGCCTGCTGAGAGCAGCCTGCTGAGAGCATCCGCTACTCACTGCAATGGGGGAAAAGGAAAAGGTACGTAATATTTGGTAAAGTTTATGTTCTTTTCTCATTTTTTTCTTCTAACCCAATGATGATTTGCATGGCTAAAACTAAGAGACTTTAAGCTCTTATTTGTTTTTTGTGGTTCCTACTTTTTTTTATATCCTGATAAGAATCCTCTGCTATTTAATTTATTGTTTTTGGCTCTCGCGCTCTCGCGCTCTCTCCCTGTGTTCTTGATTTTGCCACATACTATTTCACCATGATTCTTCCCTGTGAGTCAGAACCTGATTCTGCAGCAGCACTACATTCCACTTCTTGTTGTCTACACTTCTGCACAACGATCTTCTGTATATTATATGAAATTTTTTGTCCATCTTTGGTTAATATATATACAATTTTTTATATTAAATATGGGTAATTCAGGTTACGATTATGGTGCTGAAGGTGGATCTTGGGTGTCACAAATGCTATAAGAAGGTCAAAAAGTTCTCTGTAAATTCCCTCGTGAGTCTCTCTTCTCCTTAAGTTGTCTATAATTACTAGATGAGCAACCGAGTTAAAGTTCTTTCTTTTTGGGAAGCTAAGATTAATTTTGGATAAAACGTAAACTAAGTAAATAAATTTGTGTTTGTGAACAAGAGAAATACGAGACCAGATATACGACGAGAAGCAAAACCAAGTGGTGATCAAAGTGGTATGCTGTAGTCCAGAAAAGATAAGGGACAAGATTTGCTGCAAAGGTGGAGGTGCCATAAAAAGCATCGAGATCAAAGAGCCAGAGAAGCCCAAGCCACCGCCGGCTGAGAAACCCAAGGAGCCCGAAAAACCTAAACCGGCTGAAAAACCCAAAGAGCCCGAAAAACCTAAACCGGCTGCGAAACCCAAAGAGCCCGAAAAACCTAATCCGCCTGAAAAATCCAAAGAGCTTGAAAAACCCAAAGAGCCCGAAAAACCTAAACCGGCAGAGAAACCCAAAGAGCCCGAAAAACCTAAACCGGTTGAGAAACCCAAGGAACCTGAAAAACCTAAATCTGCACCGCCACCGGCAGAGCCAGTGAAGCCTGTTGTGCCAGGGTACCCACCGCCTGTCCAAGTAAATGCGTGTTGTATGGATTGTTACCAGGGGCATCCTGGTGGGCCATGCTACAGTGGTTATGGCGGTGGGCCTGCCCCATACATACAATATGATGGTTACTATGGAAGGCCTGTGTATGACAGTTACGGAGGGGGCAACAGGAGCTATTGTGTTACCCGCCCTGACTGTTTCAGTGAAGAAAATCCCTCAGCTTGCACAGTCATGTAAATCATGGATCATCTTCTTTGGACCGGGACGTCTTGTTCAATCTTGGATTAATATTTTAGCAGTCTTTGTTGGTTTAATATTTAATATTATAAGAGGGCCATATTGTTAAGTGAATAATAAAGTTGGTTGATGATGTTGGTGATCAAGTCACAATCACGTATATCTGTTCATTATATAATTGATTATCTAGAGATAGAAAGACATCATGAAGATGAAGTTGTTGGCTGCTACAATTTTCAATGAAATAAAAGTTTCCATTTCACATTCCCTTATCTGTCACATGCTTTCTTATTAGTTATTCTCTAATTGGTGTGACTAGCTGAATCGAGAGGAGTGAGAATTAGGATTTTCATTCCAATTGTTTACTAAAACTCGTGTGTAAAAATATAAATTTAGATATTAAGCCGGTGTTTAACCCATAATCCAATTTCTTACTCCAATTTTTATTACGAGTAATAAAAGGATTAAGATTAGAGAGTTAATTAATTATGTTGATAAAGAGGACAAAACTTAAAACTGGGTGGGAAGTTGATAATATATGAGCGGTGAGCGCATATGATTGGCAAGTCTATTCATCTTCATCCACATCTACATCCACATCCACATGATTGTATCATTGTTCTCAATCCACATATTTCGTTCAAACACATTAGTTTCTATAACAACCCTCGATCCGTCATCCCCACCCCTCCAATGTCGGCAACACGAGAGGGATTGATATGTTTATACAAAAATCGGCAAAAGCCAAAAGCCGACGAGTCTAATCCAACACCAACCTTGTATTTGGGCTAGTACCGTTTCTGCAAAACCCATCATAAAGCATCATTCAGTTACAATAAGTGGTGATTTGTTTTGATGATTAAGATCTTTTTCTTTATTTTATTAATGTTCAAAACTCTTTCCCCTATCATATAGTATAGAATTTTGTTTGTATTAAAAAAACTCAATCATTACATTTTCTGGAATAGTCGTGAGCTATGCCATATGTTTTACACCGTAAGCTTTTGAACATCACTTTGGCAAAAAAGCTTTTGAACATTTAGACCTGTAAAAGGACGATCAGACTGCTATGAAAAAGCTTAGAACAGATTCCTTGAGGTCATCTTAAGACCTTTTTGAACCAACTTTTAACATAATCGTAAAGCTCTTGGAAATTCAAGTTGGGCTTCGGAAAATCACTTCCAGGCCCGCTATGAAATATTGGAAGGTCCGTAAACTCATAAGGCTAATATGGTAAATTAAGTCTCCCTCTATCCCTTCTTGGAACGCAAAGCAAATGAAAGCCCCTCCTTTTCATAATCCCAGACAGGGTGCGGTTACACTTGCAGAGAGGGAAAATGGCTTATCACTTATGCTCTTCGCCCTCTTCTCTCTTCCACAACCCCCGAACTCCCTCCCGCTCTCTCCCTTTTCCTTCCCCGACTAATTTTCGACTCAGAAGCTCTGCAATTCACACCCACGGACTCAGTTGTCCTCCGCTACAATTTCAGTCAACAACCTCTCTGCAAATACACCATGTTTCGTTGCAAGACCCGGTTGCACAAGAAGCCCAGAGCCCCAAAGACTCAGAAATTGAAAGTCTTCAGAGCCCAGATGGAAATTCCGGGTCTTTGTCGAAAAGCTACGTCTGGGTCAATCCCAGGAGCCCCAGAGCTTCACAGCTGCGGCACAAGTCCTACGATTCCAGGTACGCTTCTTTGGTGAAGGTAGCTGAGTATTTGAACTCTTGCACTCCGATTGAAAGTGATGTTTCTGAAGCTTTAAAGGGTTTAGGGGATAATATTTTGGAACAAGACGCTGTGGTTGTTCTTAATAACATGAACAATCCGGAAAATGCTTTGCTTGCGCTTAACTACTTTCACAAGAGATTGAAACCCAAGAGGGAGGTGATTTTGTACAATGTGACTTTGAAAGTGTGTAGGAAGGGTAAGGATTTGGATAGAGCAGAGAAGCTGTTCGATCAACTACTCCAGAGGGGTGTTAAACCCGATAATGTTACCTTTTCGACTATGATTAGTTGTGCTAGGATGTGCTCTTTGCCTGATAAGGCTGTGGAGTGGTTTGAGAAGATGCCCAGTTTTGGGTGTAATCCGGATGATGTTACCTATTCGGCTATGATTGACGCCTATGGGCGTGCCGGTAAGGTTGAAATGGCTTTCAGTTTATATGACCGAGCTAGGACTGAGAAGTGGCGCATCGATCCCGTGACGTTTTCTACATTGATCAAAATTCACGGGCAATCGGGGAATTTTGATGGGTGTTTGAATGTTTATGAGGAAATGAAAGCTATAGGGGCTAAGCCAAACTTGGTTATTTATAACACTTTGTTGGATGCCATGGGAAGAGCTAGGAGGCCTTGGCAGGCCAAGAAAATTTACCGAGAGATGATCAGCAGAGAGCTTTCACCAAATTGGGTGACCTATGCGTCTCTTTTAAGGGCCTATGGTAGAGCTCGCTACAGTGATGATGCTCTTAATGTTTATAAAGAGATGAAGGAGAAGGGACTGGAGTTAAATGTAATTCTTTATAATACCCTTTTAGCTATGTGTGCTGATGTTGGTTACACTGATGAAGCCGTTGGCATTTTTGAAGAAATGAAGAGTTCTGAAACTTTGAAGCCCGACAGTTGGACCTTTTCATCCATGATTACCGTATATTCCTGTAGCGGGAAAGTCACAGAGGCAGAAGCAACATTGAATGAGATGTTGGAGGCTCGTTTTGAGCCTAATATCTTTATTTTGACATCACTCATCCAATGCTACGGGAAGGCAAAACGCACTGATGACGTTGTTAGGATATTCAATCAACTCCTAGATTTGGGTATAACACCAGATGAGCGTTTCTGTGGTTGTCTCCTGAATGTGATGACTCAAACACCAAAGGAAGAACTTTGCAAGCTTGCCAATTGCATTGAGAGGGCTGATGAAAAACTAGGGTATGTGGTAAGACTTTTGGTGGAGAAGCAAGACAGTAGTGAAAACTTCAAGAACGAAGCATCAGAACTTTTCAACTCAATCGGTTCGGATGTAAAGAAGGCTTATTGTAATTGCCTGATTGATCTTTGTGTGAACCTCGATCTATTGGAGAGAGCCTGTGAGCTACTAGACTTGGGGATTACACTTCAGATATACATAGGTTTACAGTCAAGGTCTCAAACCCAGTGGTCTCTGTATCTCAAAGGTCTGTCTCTTGGGGCCGCTCTGACTGCATTACATGTTTGGATCAATGACCTGTCTCGGGTATTGGACTCTGCTGAGGAGCTTCCGCCGTTGCTTGGAATCAATACTGGACATGGGAAACATAAGTATTCAGACAAGGGTCTTGCGAGTGTATTTGAGTCCCATTTGAAGGAATTAAATGCTCCATTCCATGAGGCCCCAGACAAGGCTGGCTGGTTTTTGACAACAAAGGTTGCAATCAAGTCATGGTTGGAGTCTAGGAGTTCATCCGAGTTAGTTACTGCTTAGACTTGGGCTGTTTAGTTTACTGACAAAGCTCTCACACTGAAATGTAACGTCAAAAACTGGTATGTGCTGCTTCTCAGTTTTCTATTTATATGTTTCTGAAGTTTTCGCTCTTGGCGTAGAGAACAGTTTTGTACCATTAGAATTCAACTATGAAATCTACTTTCACTAGTCTTATAGAGTTAATGAAGTTCTTAGAATTCTTGCATCTTACTCGGTAGTAATGTACCTATATATGTGCTTTGATTTGAGCAATGTTATCAATTAGATCCAGTTAAAGCATTGTTAAATGAATTCTAAGAAATCGAATAAGTGAAAAGAAACCCGCTTCCTTTTGCATGTTACGGAAGTTCTGAAAATTCCTTTTGATCAAAGCCATTCTGGAGGTATTGCGACACGAGAATGGCAAGGGGTACAAAACAAGTGCATTGTTCTAACTTGTGTTACCATCCAACCTATATGAAAGGGCAATTGGCAATTTGGCATTTTCGCGGACTGAAGCGACCTTAGATGCTTACTTTATGAGGCTTATTTCCGCTAGTATCGTTCTCTAGATACAAGGCATGTTATTTGCTTGGGATAGGATCATTTAGGAAGTTGATCTTCTGCAACTCTTTTGGTTGAAATTGAAATCAAGAGCCGAAGCTTGCTTGTGGCTAGTTGACTCAGGCTTCCTGTGTGATTCGATTCGAGGCCTTATTTACATGATATATTTAACAAAGACATCAAACATCTAGTTAAGTTCAATATTTTTTTGGAGTTGACATTTGATACTTTTAATATAAACTTTTTGTTGAGGCTGTGATGCAATGAACAATCTCTCCCCAGACCATTGACTTTGAGGTACTTAGATTATATATCATAACTAAAGTAGCAGTGTCATGTCTTGCACGTCAAACTGCCTCCCATGTGAAATGATCGAAGCTACACAACACTATAAATTCGATGAGAGTCCGAAATTCCTAATTCATCACTTGTATTCTCTCTGCAAAGCCAAACAATGGGTAACTGCATAAAAGTTGTGTTCATTCCGCGCCAAGACCAAAGGAAGATTAATGTAGTAGTCTACAGGGGCGGAGAACACAAATTCAAAGCCTCAACACCCGTTCAATCAATCACATCAGGCCCTTACACTGGCTACAAGCTGGTACACAACGCCCGACTGTATACGCCATGGGCACCCGACACCAAGCTAGAACTCGGTGAGGTTTACCATCTCGTGCCAGACCTTGCAAGTCTCCTCGGAAACCCCTTGGTTCCTTCAAGAATAGTCTGCCAAGAAGGATGCAAAAGAAAGAAGAATAAGATCGTTGTGACTAGGGAACAGTTGGAGGAGTTATTGAAGAGTGCTAACAAGCTCTGGTCGAAAGAAAATGGTGTTGGATTGTCAGGGAGGTTTCGGTTGGATCCTCCAAAATGGCAGCCTTCTTCGGCCATCGTTTTTGAAGGATAGGATATTGGGTTTTTATCTTCCCTTCAAGCGTCATGGTATTCGTACATATTCAAGAAGGGGTGTGATATCCATGCACCTCATTTTACTTCTCACACACTTTTTTAATTTTCGACCGTCGGATTGGATGAATTGAAAAATGATCAACGAACATAAATTATCAAGAGGTGAGAGAAGTAAAATGAGATGTGTGGATAACACACCCCTTCAAGAATAGTAGAATAGATTTTCTAGGTACTATAATGGGTATTCATATACGTGAAAGTTCCGTCAATCTAAAAATTCAACATCCTTGTATAGTTACTAGTGAATAAGAGGACTAAATGTGTAAAATAAAATAATACAAAAACAAATATGTAAGTGTTTGGTTTCATTCCATTTAGGACAATATGTAAAGTTAAAAAATAAAAACAAAATAATTATCAAACGGTTTTTTAGTTGAACTTAATAGTTTTCGGGTTATTTCTTTATTTATTAAGGAGTTTTCAAATATTGGCTTTGAGTTTTTAGTTTTCATTTTCATTTTCATTTTTTTTTCTAAATTGAAAGTAGTTATTGATAACAAGCCATGGATTTGTCAATCGCCTACTCTGATCCAAAAAGTATCATAATTTTTACCTTTTGTTTTTGTGCTTTGATAAATATGGCTTGAATATCATTGGTAATGATAGAAACTGGTGTTCGTTTTGTTGATGTTTTCTGATGATAAAATTTAGGTGGCTTCAATTTTCCAGGAACCAAAGAATCTGTGGGTTTTGGTTTTCTATTAACAAGAAACCCAAATTTTCTTTTAAATGTAAGGGGTAATGTTAGAAATTGTTGTTTCTCTACGTTAATAAGAAAATATTATTTGACAATTTGGTTTGAGAGACAAAATTTGACATAATACTTCATAATGTCATATCAATCATCAATTGTAATTTGACTGTTATAATTTGACATTTCTATTGGAGATGGTCCAACTCATCATCTATGAAAACATAACTTAATGTTAGGCTTGGTATACAAGAAGAAAAGAATGCCACTAAAAAGGGATATGATTACTTCAAGGATTACATGCATCAATTCCTATGACCTTGATCTTTTATGTTGTAGCCCTAAGTGTCGCGGCTGCTGCTGAGGTTTAACTGGTCTTTCAGGCTCTGGCTATGTTGAGCTTGATAATGATGAAGGTGTGATAATTGATAATGATGATGGTGATGATTTAGAAGGAGATGTCAATGATGAACCGGAGGAAATGAGGCAATAATGTCGATGATGATGACAATGGGGGATGAGTAGGAGTACTCGTTCGAATCGTTGGTTATGTTCTAAATGATTTTGTCACTTGTATTGGTGTTGAGCAAATCCTCAATAATTCTGCACTAGATGAGCGAGTGTGAGAAGAATTGGTGTGCCACCTGCTTACCAACAATATTCACCCTTCATTTGGCTGCGTAAAGCCTGACGATGATCAAGGTGTGATAACCGATGATGATGATGATTTGGAAGAAGATTTCGATGGTGAAATGGAGGAAGATGCAATAATATCACTGATGATGACAATGGAGAACGAATGGGCATTTCCTTTCAAATAGTTGGTTATGGTCTGAATGGTTTTGTCACTCATATTGATGTTGAGCCAATCCTCAATAATGTTGCACTAGATGAATGAGGGCGAGATGAGTTAGTGCACCACTTGCTTGCCAACAATATCCACCTTACCGATCAGTATAACACTATATATGTTGTGCAACAAGGTTTGGATGAGAAAATTGATATGACCTTGGAAGAATTGCAGGATGAAATTTGTTGGTTTGTAGAGCCAATTTCCACTATATAAAATGAGAGTTACATTGTACATAAATGCTTGTTTCTAGAGAGGTTATGGTTTGACATCCTTCTATAGTGAAGGTGAATGATCATTTTTTTTATAAAAACAAGGGTTTCCTTCACCTTTTATAGATATCATAGGCTAAGTAGTGATGCCCAAATATTAAGGCTTAATATATGGTACAACATGAGTCCCCCAAGTCTTCAGTCGAGAGAATCTTTTGGCTGAAGACTTCAAAGTGACTAGATGTCGTCGAGAGCCTGTCATTAGCATGAGGCTGGTAATGATGAAGGCGTGATAATTGATGATGATTTAGAAGGAGATGTCAATGATGAAATAGAGGAAAATAAAGCAATAATGTCAATGATGTTTACCATTAATATCTACCATCCCAATCAGTATGACATTATATATATTGTGCAACAAGGTTTGGATGAGGAAATTGATATGATGTTGGAAGAATTGCAGGATGAAATTGGTTGGTTTCTTATCTTTGAACTTCTACGTATAATTGTAGCCGGCCCCACACTTAACCCTAGAATGGTATATGTCATCCTATTTCATGCATAAAAACTAGTGGGTCATAGATTATAAACAATTGGGATATTACATAGTATGAAGACGCAAATAAAGGCGTGATAATCAATAATGATGATTTGGAAGGAGATGTCGATGATGAAATAGAGAAAAATAAAGCAATAATGTCAATGATGATGACAACAAGGGACGAATAGGAGTACCCATTCAAATAGTTGGTTATGGTCTGATTGTTTTATGAGTAATGCTCATTCCTAGTAAGTTGTCATTTTTTGTATGTTTCAGGCAATTGAACTTAATTCTGTCTAAGTTGGTGCATAGAGATGAGGATGTCAAGTTAAAATCTAGCAGTAAGGTTGAAAAGCCTCTGCATTTCGTCTCTTATACTGCAGCCATAGGAGTTGCAGCAGCTGCCGTGACAATGCCAGTTGGCCTTGCAGACCCTGATGATGATGAAGGTGTGTTAACAGATGAAGATGACGGTGATGATTTGGAAGGGGACGTCAATAATGAAATGGAAGAAGAGGAGGATGATAATGGTGATGATGGCAATGGGGAAGGAGTAGGAGTACCTGTTAAATTTGTTGGTTATGGTATGCACGAGTTGGTCGCTCGTATTGATCTTGAACAAGTCCCAAATGTTGCTACGCTGGATCAATTAGTGCAAGATGAGTTGGTTCATTACCGACTTCCCAATCATATCCACCCTCTTAAGCACTATAACATTATTTATGTTGTGCAACAGGGTCTGCATCAAATCAATGACATTAGAAGAAAAGAAGGATCAAGTTGTTTGGTTTCTAGTCCTTATATTCCTCCATGGAATTGTAGCCTAACCCATTCTTAACCCCATATGGGTAGATATTGTCACATATCATGGTCCAGATTGCCAGGTTATAAACCAATTAGACATTACACGGTATGAAGATGTAGACGACTTGCTGCTCAACCTATAAGTTGTTCTGGAACAATAGTTCAATATAATAGAGGTGGAGTTTCATTCAACTTGCATAATCGATTTACCGCTTCATCCAAACGACGAGAGAAATCTTGTTGAAGTTGGTGAAATCCAACCTTGGATCATTGCAATTCAAAGAATATTGGAAATTCGTGTAACGATTAAGAATAACGGCGGACCTCCCTCCCCTGGCACCGAAGATAGTATGATTGAAGATTGAAGATTGACTGACTGACACAGAGTTTTTTGCACAATAGTTTGATGATTTCGTTTTCTGCCAATAGTTTACTGACGATAATGAAGGTGATACTTGATGATGATGATTTGGAAGAAGATGTCGATGGTGAAATGGATGAAGATGCAACAATGTAGCTCATGATGACAATGGAGGAGGAGTAGGCATACCCTTTCAAATAGTTGGTTGTGGTCTGAACGGTTTTGTCACTCATATTGATGTTGAACAAATCATCAATAATGTTGCACTAGATGAATGAGCGCGAGATGAGTTGGTGCACCACTTGCTTACCAACAATATCCACCTTACCAATCAGTATAACATTGAGAAAATTGATATGACCTTGGAAGAATTGCAGGATGAAATTTGTTGGTTTGTAGAGCCAATTTCCACTATATAAAATAAGAGTTACATTGTACATAAAGGCTTATTTCTAGAGAGGTTATTGTTTGACATCCTCCTAAAGTGAAGGTGAAAGATCATTTTTTATAAAAACAAGGGTTTCCTTCACCTTTTATAGATATCATAGGCTAAGTAATGAGGCCCAAATATTAAGGCTTAATATATGGTACAACATAAGTCCCCCAGTCTTTAGTCAAGAGAATCTTTTGGCTGGAGACTTCAAAGTGACTAGATGTCGTCGAGAGCTCGTCATTGGCAAGAGGCTGGTAATGATGAAGGCGTGATAATTGATGATGATTTAGAAGGAGATGTCGATGATGAAATAGAGGAAAATAAAGCAATAATGTCGATGATGCTTACCATCAATATCTACCATCCCAATCAGTATGACATTATATATATTGTGCAACAAGGTTTGGGTGAGGAAATTGATATGATGTTGGAAGAATTGCAGGATGAAATTTGTTCGTTTCTTATCTCTGAATTTTTACGTATAATTGTAGCCGACCCCACACTTAACCCTAGATTGGTAGATGTCATCCTATTTCATGCACAAAAATCAGTGGGTCCTAGGTTATAAACCATTGGGGTATTACTTAGTGTGAAGATGCAAATGAAGGCATGATAATCAATGATGATGATTTGGAAGGAGATGTCAATGATGAAATAGAGAAAAATAAAGCAATAATGTCGATGATGATGACAACAGAGGACGAGTAGGAGCACCCGTTCCAATAGTTAGTTATGGTCTGATTGATTTTGTCACTCATATTGATGTTGAGTAAATCCCCAATGATGCTACACTAGATGAGTGAGTGTGAGATGAGTTGGTGCGCTTACCAACAATATCCATCATCTCGATCAGTATGACATTATATATGTTGTGCAATAAAGTTTGGGTGAGGAAACTGATATGAAGTTGGAATAATTACATAATAAAATTGGTTGGTTTCTTGTCTTTTAACTTCTACGTAGAACTGTAGCTGAACCCACACTTAACCCTAGATTGGTAGGCATCGTCCTATTTCATGCACAAAAACAAATGAGCCTTAGGTTATAAACCATTGGGATATTACGTAGTGTGAAGATGCAGATGACCTGTTGATCAAATTGGGAGCAGTTATGGAACAAGAGTTTAACAATATCTTGGAGGGGGCATATCATTCAACCTACATCATTTGTCTACCCCTTTATATGAAGAGAAGTCTTGTAGAAGTCAGTGAAATCGAACCTTGGCTCATTGTAATCCAAATGATAAGGAAAGTCCATGCAACAGTTTAAAATGACAATAATAATGACGGATCTCCCCTAGCCCCGGAGATAGTATTGTTGAATAAGAGTTAAACATATCTTATAAAGTATCATGCAACATATTCTCTTGTTTTTAATAACATGACTATACCCTAAACCATCGAAAACATGACATGTTAAGATTATTATACTACTGATTCAGACGATAAGTTTTACACAAAAAAAAAAAAAAAAAAAACTAATGAAAATAGCTTCAAAACTTTGAGTTTTAATGATAAGGATAAAATAAAGGGTAAAGTAAATAGTATCAGGATTGATTTTTTAGTGTAAAAATATGTTTTTTTCGTTAAAGTGAACAGTACCGGTAACCTAACTTGAGCAATTTCTGGTCATTTACTAATGGCTTTTAAAGAGAGAATATCTGGTTTGAGGTTTATAACTACAATTGCTGATGATGAAATTAAGAAACCAACAAAATACAATGTTTATTATTCTATAGAAAATCTGAAAGACACTAGCATTCGAACAATTACTATTTACTAAAGCAATAATTATCTTTGCCTAATTGCCTGGGCAATTATTACCTTGGTAGCGTGAGAGTGCTCTTATACCAATTTATCAGGATTATGTATCCATCTCATGATACACGACTCAAATAAACTTAGAAATATGCAGAGTGTTTTTTTGTCAGGCCACAAACAGAAAGACTACATCAGAAACCTTTACAAAGAATATTACTACTCTAAGGTGAAAGTAACTTAAATGAGACAAGTATGCTGCTACCATCACGTTTTGATGCGAGCACTCGATTTTGATCCCACTTTACTCCTTGGAACGTAAAGTCATCATTTTGTTCCATAAAACTCCATTTCGATGCCACTTTACACTGAAACTCAAAAGTAACCTTAAAATGTTTTATAAAGACAAACTATAAAATGTTTTATAACATAAGTGCCCCGATGGTCGTCTGGTCCATTAATAGATATATAACAATAGTACACAATAGATTCATAACGTAAAGGAATTAACTTGGCTCAGCAATTCCTCCTCAAGATCATTTTACGTAAAAAATTGTTAATAAAATATAAGATGGTTTAGTCACTGGAATGTATAATAACATATGGATTGATCATGTCAAAGAATTACAAAACGTCTATCTACTCACTACTGTTGATTGACTGAATAATCTTACTTACAAAAAAAAAAGGATCTTACTTTAAATTGATTTTTTTGTAATGATGACATTTACAGAGCAATGTATAATATGAACAGTTCTAATTATAAACATGAAGTTTCGTGAATCAATCACAAAGTATATTGAGGAGCAGCCAAGCCTTCTAATGTAAAATGAACTTTCGCATTTTCTTTATGTAGAATTCATCAAGCCTAGGTAAACACAATAAACACCAACCTAAAATGAACAAACTCATCACTCCTTTTAGGATCGTAATATTATTTCAAGTAGCTATTTCATTGGTGAATCCCTGCTTTCTTTCAAGATGCTTTTGCTACCCTACAAAAATTTCAAGATGCATTTGTTAATCATCATAATATTAGAAATTCACGATCAAATTAGCTGAAAAGGAGAAAACAAGGATACAATTGAGGCTCTTACAAATTTGTCACGCACCGTTTAGAGGAGTTTGTATTTCTGCTCTTTTTGTTTTCATCCATATACTTGGCTGCTGCAGTTTCTTTATCTCTAGCCACTGCTTCTCTCTTCATTTTCTTAAACTCTACATCCATGGCTTTTGTCAGCGCATCCACCTTTTTCATCAGCATCTAAGAAAACAGTCGTAACATGCACTCAGTACATGAATGGTGGGAATAGACACAAAGTAGGGGGTGCATGGGAGGAATATGTTGTTAATTTCACCTTTATTTCTTCATCCTTAGCATTCATATCGCTCTCCTTGGCTTCGCAATGCTTCCTTAAGTTTAGGACCTCCTTCTGAAGCCTATCGTAGAGAAAACCGGAGACCATATCTTCACTTTCAGGGTTGGTACTTATCTTGTTGTGCGAATCCTCATTGCCACCATCTGCAGCTTTAATGTCTGCGGCAGCAGTTTTATCATTGTTGTTTTCAGTATCAGTATTAGTATTTTCCTTCATTTCTGTGTTCTCCTTTTCACCACTATCAACAACTTTACTTCTAGATGCCCATAAGCTTTTCTTCAACATATTTTCTCCAGAACCATATTTTTTTCTAAAGCTGGTCGCTCTTTTTAGCCCTCCAGCTGTTTCGTTGTCTGAATGTGGCTGTCGCTGTGGAGAGCTTCTACTGACCGTGGAACCCCGCGGCTGTGATGTCGATCTCTTTGCTGAACCACCGTTGCTTGTCAGAAATCCTAAGAAGTTACTAGATTTTTCAGGTTTTGGGGAACCACAAAATAAATTAGGATTACAGGAGAAGCTCGAAACATGCTTTAACCCTTCCTCGAGCGTCTTTAACCTCAACTTCATTTTTTCCTGATGTAACATTAGAATTGAAGAATGAAAGATTCAGGTGGATAAATGGCAAAGCATTTAGATGGAGTAACAAGAAGATTGCCAAGATTATATTTTCACCTTGAGTTGTGCTTCTGCCTTCGCTGTTCTGTCCGATATAGCTAGCTTGTCTCTCAACCGTTGCATCTCTCCCTGCATATGCAAAGCAATAATTGTCCTCAAATATTTTATTTTATAGTGTTTGGCATTTTCTTTTCTTTCCTGAACAGGAAATACCTGCATTAGTCTTCTCTCTTCCAGCCACTGTTTCACGGGCATAACTTTGTCGTTGTCATCCTTCCACTCATTAGCAATCACAGTTGCTACCCGGTTTGCTGAAACTTTAATTCTTGCTAGCTCTCTCTCCAGAGTTCTCTTCTCCTCCTGTGTAATTCCATGAGGCAACTGTTAGTACTTTGATTAATTTCCCAAATTCCAAAATTGTCGTGGAAGTAAATATGTTATGTTTATGTCCCTTCAAATTAATCATATGTACCCATGAAACGTACATGTAATTCTTCTGCCTGTCGTTGGTAGTCACGAATAGCATTGGCTGCAGCCCCACCAGCTAAAACGGCCTCCTCAAGTTCCTGAATGGTTTGACTAAGCTTCTCAACCTCTAAAACCTTTTGGCGGTTTGTTTTTTCGAGGATTCTGTTTTCCTCCTGCATATGGTATATTGATTGGATTGAATACTCGTACTTAATTATTTTCGAGAAATGAAATAGGATCTGATGCAAAGTCATGCCTGGCAGATCTCAATCTGTCTCCTCAATTCGAAGTTTTGGTTCTGAACCTCTTCAACTATTAGAGCCCTTTCTAGTGCACTTTGCAATATCCGTTCTGCTTCAAGAAGAGCTGACTCTTTTGTCTTGGTAAGGCGTTCCAACGCCTTCTTATCCTCCTGAAGTGCCGCAATCTGAAAAGGTGAAAAGGGGAGGAAAAATCCTTTCAGTGTGAGCAATCAAATGGGGTTAGTTTAGGGAATAATTCTCCTGAGTTTCTACCTGATTCTTGTACATTTTGATTTCAGCTTCTAGAGGAGCAATGAAAGACTCGAGAGGAAGAGATTCATCGTCCCTTCGATTTGCATGTACCCTTCTAAGAGTTGATTCAGCAGCATATTGTGCAGCCAATGCATCTCTCTTCTCATCTATTAGTTTCTTGATTTCAAGATTCTGCATTTTATCATATTTGGTTTTGCACATGACATAGTAGGGTGATTACTGACAAAAGTTCATCAGACATAAGGATACCCGAAATTCGAAAATCTCAGTAATCAAACACACCTTGTGCTGGAGAAGACTTTCTGTGACTCGGTGTTTTTCGTCCAATTTCTGTACTTCATTTCTGAGCTGGAAAATGTAATAACGAAAAAGAAAAAAGGATTCAGTCGTTTTCTAATGAGTAAGTTCAATGTGTTTGTGCGTTTTCAGTGACTTGACATGTCTGTACATATTTCTTTCACTTTCAGTACCTCTTCTGCAGCCTTATCCTTTTGAACTTCGGTAGCTCTGAGAGCCTTGATCTCACCATGAGCAATCCCCAACTCCCGACTCTTTTCTGCAAGTTGAATTTAACAAACTCGTATTAAATTTGTATTTTGAAGACTTTTTTTTGTTAACTTTTAGTAGAAGGAAAAAGCATATCATATACCAAGAATTGAATTGGCAACTGCAGAACACTTAACAACAGAACCATCAAATCTTTTGACACCAGAGTCTTTGAGGCTAACAATTATTCTTTGTATTCATAGTCCTTGTAAGGTATCACATATATAACTAGACCAGTGGATCACCTTTTGAAAGCATTGTTCATTCGAGGAATATAAAGAAAAGTTTACGGGACTATATATAACTAGACCAGTGGATCAACTTTTGAAAACAATGTTCATTCGAGGCATATGAAGAAAAGTTTAGGGGACTATATATGTACATAAAGATAAAGAATAAATAGAAAACAATAAGCTCAAGTCATTTTTCAGCACCCGGAATTTAGAAGTCATCATATCTTTATTACTAGGTAAATATAGCTTTCTTATAAAACCCTATGCTCCTCCTATTGAAACTCAACTCCGTAAATAGCATTCAATATCATATATGAAAAACCAGTTCAGTTCACAGAAGAAGCAAAAATAGTCTGGAAAAAGTGCGAAAGCGGGAGGAGGAGAGAGGGACCTTTGAGTAGGTTGTGCATCCGATTGAGCTCTAACACAACAGGGTCTGGATGGACAAGGGACAGCTCATCTCCTCCAACTCCAAGTTGTTCTTCATCATAACCCGCCATTCCGATTTCCGATCGGCTTATGTTTTGCTAGGCAGTTTAGAAATAGATAGACAAAGAAACAAAGTGCTGTAATCTCCAAAGCTTAGCTAATTAGCGATGGATATTATTCAATGTGGGGGATTGAATGTGGTTTTTAATGAGTAGATGATGTGTGAGTTTTAAGGAATTGAGCGTAAAGAGTGGGATGATGAGATATGGACTTCCCTTGCTGGGAACCAACTTTTGGATATTCAAGTTAGAATCACAAATCTTAGCCCGGCCAAACCGGCTGTTATTCTTCCCTCCTAATTTTGACAGTAACGGTTACTTTTTAAACATGTACATATTATTAATTTTGAGGTTTATCTCTTAATTTTGATTTCCAACCGTTGTGATTTGTGATTGATGGTGACTCTTTGCAGCTGTGAATTCCTCATATGTATAATTATATTTTAATCCAAGTGTTGCATTTATATTTTCTACCACCTAATCTATGATTATAATTACGTTTGGACCGTTCAAGGATTGGCATACACCATATTGTTAATTAAAGAGTGATTAGTGCATCTGTTGGTGCCATTTGGTGCAACCTTCATCTGTTGAAGCGGTTTTTTTCTCTTTTATTATGTTGAAAGATCAACAGCCAATAACAAGACATTGACCGATTGATCAATAAATCGATTAAAGTGTATGACCCATCCATTAGATTAATTAGATTAAGCGGTGATATAAAATAGGTACCCTAAACTATGCAACGAAAAGAAAACATGTTAAAACCTCATTTTACAATGGTCCTCTGAAGTCGTTTGCAAATGATAACAAGTAAGGAAAATAATTAGGGATTGTCATGATCTAGCTACAAGATGGAAAGCTCTTGTTTTGGTGTAATTTAATTGCTTAAGCGCTAAAACTTGCTTAAACCTTGCCAACAATTTTACACTCATAATCTTTCCTTGCAAATAAATGATAAACGCCTTGAATATAGGCCAAGAAAATGAGGTAGTTGTGATGACCATGATGATGGCATGAGCTGAAAGGGACCAACTAAAGTGGCTTGAACGAACAAACAAATTCCTATTCCTACAGAAAGTCTCCCTCGCATCTTTGCTTAAGAAATTATGATTAAGTTGGTAAATGTGGATTATATTAGTTAGTCAGGACAATGCGTCTGCTCTTAAGTTCGTATTCGAATCGCTTACTTAAATAAATTAGGCTGGTCTGCCCATATGGCAACCTTGGACATTTCCATATTTTTTTTGATCAGGCAACAAAGGGAAGATTTCACCTAAAAACACCCCTTTAAAAAATGGAGAAGCACCAATGCAAAATGAGTAAATCCTTAATACAACCAAAACAGTCAAAAGGGTTGTTGATTAGCATATGATTTTGTGTGGAGTTTTGTTTTATGCGAATCATTTTTCAATTGAATTCTTACTCACTATGTTGTTGTGTGTTCCTTTCCTTTATTGGTTTGCAGACTTGGAGTAGGTAGATAGGTTCACAATATACTAGAGGATTGAAATTAATCAATTTTATACAATTTGTCATGGTATATGTAGAGGGTCGAGAGGTTGATTAGCCTTATTGCTGTGAGTTAAGTCAGTTGATTAAAGTAATGTGTCTTATTTTTTACAATTAAGTTTGAGTCTAATTTTCTGTAAATATCGCTTTTTAAAATAAAATGTGGATTATCTCGACTAAGGGTCAGGCTAAAGTGCTATTACAGATCCAAATTTTGGGTGAGCTCATAAGTCATAAACAAACAAAGGCTGAAAGTATGAACAAGTCGGGTGTGGGTGTCGGGCTCCCACTATTTTTTATTAACTTTTTAATTGATGAAAATAGATGTTTAAAAACAAGACATTGGCGAAAATGATTTATATTGTGAACGTTGTGAAACTTTCCAATAGCGAATTGCTTTGGTAATAATTTTTCAAAAACAAAAAACTAGGACAACGCATATTACATAATTAGTGTGTGTGCACGTGCAATACAAGTTAAGAACTTAAGGGGACGTTTGTTTGCCCTCACTAAGTTGGACTGGACTAGACTGGACTAGCTATTAGTCCAATACTGTGTTTGTTCCATGCTGGGACTAACATTAATGAGACTAAAGGGGACTAGCATGGACAAAACCCTTCACTAAGAGGTCTTAGCGAGACCCCCCAATAACCATGTGACTAGCTAAGACTATCCTCTCTTTCTCGTCCTCGTCATGCTCAACGACCACTCTCGACAGAGTCCTCGTCATCTCCGGTCACCTAGATCAATCATTAACTTTCCGACTCTCTTTTAGATCCATTTCACAACCAACTTTCATACAAAATATACCAAATTGAAGCTGGGAGTGACAAGATTACGATTTTACCTGAATCGAGGCCAAAATGTGGTCGAATGTGGCTGGAAAATGGCCTGGAAGTCTCGGCCTGTTTGGGCTTCTTCAAATCCATGACAGATTCGAGCATTCAAAGCTAAGATCTCGGTCCAGGGATGGTGATGAATTTTTTGGCGGTGCTAACTTCATCCAATTTAACGAGGAAATGGTAGGAAAAAATGAAGAAAAAGATAAGATCATAATAAAATATTAATAATTTATATATTAAATAATATAATATTATAATTTGTTATTATCCAGCTTCTTAGTCTAATACTGCACCAAACGCTTCACTAAGTTAGTCCAGTTTAGTCTAGTCTAAGCCAGTCCAGCTTAGTCCTTGAAGCTAATCCAGTCCGAGATAGTCCTGCGCAACAAACGCCCCCTAAGTGTTAGTGTAAGACCAATACTAGACTAGAGGCCTCATGTTGCCTCTCTGCTAAAACTTTGTGATTGATGCATGAGATATGAAGTTTTTGGACAGGCAGCTTAATAACATAATTATAGTATAAAGTAACATCCGAGTGAAATATTAGTACCATATCATGTCCATCGTTACATCTCGATCATAAGGCACCAGTCCAACAGATTCCACTTAATGTTCTCCCCACTCTTTCAGGCGTGCTTCATCATTTGTCAAATTACTTGGAAGTTTCCTGAGCAAATATTCCAGAGCAAAGGCATCAAGGAGTTGAGCGGAAAGGGTGGGAGGAGAGTCTTCCTCCATAGAGGGATAGGGAATGAGTTTGTCGCTGTCGGTGAGGAAGTGAAAGCGGTTGAACAGGAAATGGAAACTTGAAGGAGGATTTAGGTTTAGGAGGTTCAAATTCAAATGTGGCGATGAAACAAACACATACGACTACATGTGAGGCATGTATGGTCATTTACAACCAGTCAGCAAATACTTAGAAATGAATCAGGCACAGGCAGCAAATATAACAATTAAAAAACTGTACAACCTTTTGCAAGGGTCGAGTTTGTAAATATTTAGTTTATGTAAAGGTCGAGTTTGTAAATATCTAGTTTATTGCCAGTTCATTCGAGATTAGCTTGTGATTACAAATTAAGGTTGTGTTTTGTTTAATCATCTAACATAAATTTTGAAATACTAATAAATCGTATGACGTGTAAATGCAGAAACCCCTTAGGCCTTCAAGTTATAATATATGTTTCCTTAATTTTTTTCTTATAATAAAAAGGGAATCAACTTAGCCAGCCCATATATAACAATAATCTTTCATGAAGGGCATAACCACAAAGGAGAAAAACAAAGATGCCATTCCTTTCCTTGTTACTAATCATCACTCCATGCGAAAAGTAACCTACAAATCAAATAAATGGACAAAGCATCCATGTCAAAATAATCGTTGTGCCTAATGACTAATGTGCCCTTCCACCAGATTTTCACATCCCATTTTCATATAGGTAGATGATGTCGATTAATCAAGTGGAGGGGGGCAAATCCTGGAATAAAAGAAACAATGAGAATTATGAACTCAGTTGAGGATAATATTCTGGGAAAGAGTCAAGGACGAAGCAAAGTTTGAGAGATATAACCACATGCTTCTTATTCTTCGACAAGAACCTGAGTTATAACCCTAATCTCTCTCTCTCTCTTCTCTCTCTCTCTCTCTCTCTCTCTCTCTAGAGTTGAAAGTTGTGATTGTTATTGAGAAAGCAAGCCAAGGCCGGCCGCAATGGATATCTCGCCACAACTTCTGCAGTACCGATATCATTTTGTCAAAGCAATCTTTGTTTCGCTAATATTTTCTTTAATGTTGTATGCAGCCCCTAGGATTCTAACCATTTTGGGTTACTTTTGGCCTCTCTTTGCCTCCACAACAATATTTTTGGTGGCAGTAATCGCCTTTGGTGGTGTTTCACAGCTGTCGACAGAATCACACGGTGAAGCACAAGGTCAAGGAATCATAGATTATGTTGCTGGCCAGACAGACTACACATTAGTTTCAAGCTGTTTATAATATTTCTATTTCTGATAATTAATCTAATTTCAATGCAATTAAAATGTATATATTCAGGAGTAATAGTCCAAGGCAGTTGGGTTAATACTTATTTGTTGCATACGCGATTGAAATATGAGGCTGCTGAAATTTGTGACTTACTCATTATTTATATTCATCAAATGTAGCATGCAGCAACATAACTAGTGAATGGATGAAATTTGTGACTTACTCATTATTCTGGTATTCTCACTCCACTTTGCATGAAAACCCCCCACATCTATTGATTGCACGGGTGACTAAATAGAGATAGATTCAAGTTATTAATGGTGAACCGCAGCCAGTCTAGAGATCATTTTTTATTCGTGTTTCCTTTTAAGTTCCAAAGATCAATAAGGCAAATTAAACAATCTACCAATCTCAAGAATAAACAATTCTAAAATTCTTCTAAATCTTATCCTCCTGCTCTTTTCTCATAATCAAATCAAGTCATCCAAAAGAAATTTACAATCCAAGCGAAAAATTCAAGTCTACAGATTACAGTACGTGCAATTGTGTTCAATAGTAGTTCAAGTTTCTAAATAAATTTGCGTGGCAATGGGCCTCCTCATTTTACGAGCTCCCTCCTGGAATTCTAGAGATAACAAAGAAATGAAGAATATCAATAAAGGCAACTATCTCCTCCAAAACGACAGCGTTGTCAAGTTACAAAAATCCTAGCTAAATCGAAAGGGGCGCACTGGACAAATTGTATGAGTTCAGCAGCCAAAAGACGGAAAAAGAAAATTAAGAAACTTATCAATAGAGAGTCAAATTAAGAACAGCTTGTTCAATTAAAATGCCCCATCAATGCATCATTACACAGCAGGGAAAATATTCACAGCTATGTATAAGTAAACTTGATTCTGTTGTCATTATTATATTTGTTGATAGTGCTTTCTGTAAAGTAAATTTAATTACTTAATGGAATCATGAAATTATAGAGAGCACACTATTACCCTGTAATTAATTTTCTTTTGGGGTGGCCTATTGATCTATTAGGTTTCCAAAATGGAACGAGAGGCAAAGCAACAAGGAGAGGAAAAAGCTTTATATGCGAGTCGAACACATCCTAGTAAAAGGGATAGGGGAGTGATAGACGTCAAAGAGGAACTAATAGCAAGAAATCATGTGATGCAACATCTGAAGAAGAAAGTGCCTTCAACTATTGAATTTGTATGCATGTACTAGTGAATTCAATGCTTGAATTATATAGACATGGTAACATGCGTGTTGCGGAATTTATCTAATACTAGGCTTCTACTTATGGTTAGTTGTGTGAGCAAACAAACTTGAATAGAGACATGGTAACTTTGACTTTGTTTGTTTGTGTATCTTTTTATTTCATTAGATTTTTCTGTTAAACCGAGTCAAAGTTTCCGGTCCTACGAAGTTAAGTTACACAATCTTTATTTATTGATTCAGAGGATAGGGTGGAGGGGTAGGAAGGAGGATGTGTGTCCAACTCTTACCTTGACTTTGATTTTAGTACGTAGTATGAGAAAAGCTTTTGGTATTTTCCGTTGATATTTACTTTTCCCTCATAATGCTTAATGTTGTACGTAGCTCGGATGCGTTATTATGAAACCCTAGCTTTTTCCAAAAGTATAATTTAGAGAGGAGAAGGTTTAACTACACAGAAATAATTAAAGAAAGAAAGTAAGGCTCTATACGCCATGTGAATTTTAGAGTCGTCATAGTTCATGTCAGTGCTAGGCATATCAACTTACACTTTTAAGTTGTTGGTTGAGATGATATTGATATTAAATCAGATGTCGTCAAAGTTCCTGAATGATCAATGTCAAGTTTCTTGAACGTTTCCATCAGCAGTGCAATATCTTCCTGGTTGATCTTCCCCATCTCCTTTAGCTTATATACGATAAACTCTGCCGCACTGGTACATAGATGAATCCAACAAGCTCGCCACATGAGAATTGATATATCTTAATTGTTTACAAATAATAAGATAAAACATGCATGAGGATTGTAAAATATTTCATACCTAACGACTTTATCATGATCAAGATCTGCTTCCTCAAGATCCGAGGGTGTTAATCTCCGCGTAAGAGCCCACTTCACAAGTGATCTTTGCCTTCTTTCAGTGCATAGTTCAGCAAGGTAGAGAAAGAACTGTGCCAAACAAATGGTGCTGCTCAGTATCCAAAAAACAGCGAAAATACGACCAGCTCCCGTTGAGAAGCTCTCGTCCCCATAGCCTAGTGTAGTAATAGTGGAACAAACACAATAGAAAGCATCCGTAACTTCCAGATTCTCAACTAGACATAAGAAGACAGTTCCTGCTATAATAAGAATCAAAAGAAGGATTCCGACAGTAATACATTTGAATTTAACTTTTTCGGTCTCAACCTCCTTAAGAAGCTCCGGTGGCCCAACTTTTTCTCGAAAATGTATGGCTCTAACCAAAAGGATTTCCTGTTTCTCTACAAGGTAATCTGCTGCCTTGCCAAGAATTATGCCAACAAGGGCCATGCCGGTGAACACATAAACGCAAGCAACTAGCTTTGCCAATATGCTATTTGGCACAAGGTCCCCGTAGCCAACAGTGCTCATTGTGACTACACACAAGTACATGGAGTCCAGAATTGCATTCGTTTTCTTACCCTTTATCTGATGCCTCATCAGGAAAAAGCAAAATGTGCCTCCACCAATGTATGCAATCAACAACAAGATTACTTGCCTTAGACTGAATTGTGGTTTTACATAGACTGGATCACAATCTGCAGGATATTGAGATTCCACTTGGTTTTGTTGTAGGCGGTTCTTGAATGATGGACATGGAGTAGTGCTAATGCTGTATAGGCGATTTCTTCTTCTCTGGACAACATTCGTTTCATTATTGTGTTGAGAATTATCTTTCTTTTCAGAAAGTAAGGTTTGTTTAACATCATCGCTAAAATCACTAGCCATCATATTTAAAGCATTACATAAAAGTTCATCTGGTTTAGCAACGACCTGCAGTATACAGAATCAAAACGACATAATATTTCCCAAACCAAATTCTTTAATATGAATTGAAACACATTACTTTAGTCTAAAGAAGCTGGCAAAATTGCACTGTAGAAATGAACAGTGTTTTGTAAGACATTTCAGTTTATTTACAAGACTACCACTGGCCCTCTCTGCCGTTAGTCTTGATGCATACGTGTTGATGATCGTGGGAAGGAAGAACGATGGTAAAGGCGGTCTTTTTCGTTTCCTTCTCAAACCCTCCTTGCCTCTTCCGTCTCACAGACCCGACGAGAACGACACAGACGGTCTCGCGTCCATCCTATCCTCCTCTCACCGCCGTCTGCCTTCCCTCGCCTATGTCGTCTTACTCCATCGTTTGCGTCATGGGGGCCCATGCGTGGTTTTTTGGGTGGGGATTTCAGATTTCAAGGGGGAGAGAGGCTGTGCTTCGTTTCGATCTGGTCTTGGTGAGTATCGTGATCCCAACTCTTTGTTATTATTAGTTCAATTTCTCTGTTCGAGTCACTGCAGAGTTTTCTGTCACTCAAAAGCAGGAGTCGCTTCAGCTCTTCATTGTTCAGCAGCTGCACCAGAAACGATTTGATTTGATTACGAGTCTTAATCTGTTTGAATAATTATATATATTGTTTGGCTGTCTGCTATACAAATTACCACAAAACAAGAAAGATTTAGTCACAAGTAAATAAAACTATAATTCTCTCTTAATTAATGCTGCAAAATCTGTGTTGGGTCAATAATTGCAAGCTATTTTTTCCGAGAAACAATCAGATTATTGGATCTAAGTTGCTAATTGTTTTAATTTTGAGGCTTCAATAAAATCAGCACCCACAACTGGAGGTGTCAAGAAGCCTGACCGCTACCGACCTGGAATCGTCGCTCTTCGGTAAGTCTTCAACACAATATAGTTCAAATCCTCTGAATCATGTTCTTGAATTTTACAATTACGTATCGTGTTCTTTGCATTTCGTTATCCGAACTCTATTCGTTGAATTTGGTTACCTAAATCGTGCCTAATATTTGATGTGGCCAGTGGCTTTGTTGTATGGCTGGCTGATGTGATTTGGGAGTGTTTTTAGTTAATGGGAGACAGGGGACAAAGGCGTGGGGCAGCGAAGTCACGTGGAATTAGGAATTTAGGATAGTAGAGTATTTGCTAATTTATAGGATTAGAAGTCTTCCTTTAGTTTTGTCTTGGTGTGATGAAAAAGAAAAAGGGTGAGTAATTTTAACTCCTGTTTAAGGTAATAACATGTGAATTGTTCTCAGGTATATTGGAACTAAATTTTTCATGATGCTCTTTCCTTTTCTTCTCAGTGAAAAAACATACTAAAGCAACAACATTATGGTGGTGGGAATAAGCGTTCTCAGGTATGTATGGATGTGTGATATGAATTAGCTGACTGGTGTTGAAACATCAGTCAATAAAAAACAGATAGGATCTCAAATATTATACATTAATCCATACATAATGTTTTTGTTATCCGCCCTGCATCAAGATGAGAAAGGCCTTCTTTATTTCGGGCTCAATTATTAATGGAAAACTCATTCATATTTTTTCATAGAAATTCCATCATTATGCACTGCTGTTTAATTGCTCTTTTTGGGTTTTCTAGCCAAAAAGTAGGTCAGTGTATATTTATTTAGCTCCCCTGATTTTCATTTTTAATTTATTTTTTGTTTGTTTTGTTGAGTGATGCAGTTTGATCGAATCAGGTTGAATTGAATAATCCTTGAAGTGACAAGAAGGAGCTGATTGAGCAAGTAATAATTCTTAATTACTTACATGTTTTCATTTTAATTTATGATTTGATTGGCCCTCATAGAAATTTCGAGCTCCATAATTGTTGGACCATTGATGTGTTATGAGTATTGATTAGTGTAGTTGTGTAAATATAGTGTATGGGTGTTAGATGATCTCAGAAGGGAAGGGGTATCCCCTTCTTCTTTTTTCTCTTGAACTCTCTCTATCACAAAACTAAAACATGGCCGCCAGTTTTCTTATCCTTTAATCGCCGATCTCCTCAGGTTTGCCTCAAGCCGGTGAAGGAATCAGGGTAACAGAGCCCAGACTATAAGAGGTATTTCACATCCCTTAATTTTTATTTTATTTTATTAATTTTAACCAGATCTGAGAATTTCTAAGTCATGGATCTATGAATAGTGTGTGTTGAGTCTCTGAGCATCTCTATTTTTTTTTTTTTTCATCAAATGGTCTCTGTAGTGTCTCTATGTGTTTGTGCATCCATGTATGAATATGGTCTCTGCAAGCTCATTATTGTCCTGGGAAACCACCTAAATTATTGATACCTTGCTTTCTACGTACAATGTTATCAAGTTCTATTTTCTAGATTTCTGATTTTGGGGGGGAGGGAGTGCTAATATAGTAATTTTCAGGTATTTTGTGTCTTTTGGGTAACTTTGTGATATGCAGTTGATTTTAGGAATTGATTTATGGTGGAATGCACTGACATAAGTTATTGTTTTTGTTAATGCAGATGACGGAAATTGACCCGAGTTCATACTGAAACAATATGATTATTTTGGTTATGGTGAGAACTCAGAACCCTTTCTTAATCTTTCCTGTTTTTGGAATTGAGAAATTGGGTTAATTTTATGATGATTCACCGAGAGTTTGTTAATCGCTTTAATGCATATGAGATAGGGTTTCTGCTTTGTAGGATCTATTTATGGTCTTTAGAAATTGCTTGATTTGGTATTGTCAAATGGTATATGAATTTCCATGTTCACTTTGTCAGTATGTTGTTGTAGTAGTTTAATTGGATGCGATATAAATTGAGGTGTTGACATGAAATTGGACACAGGTGGTTTTCCTTGATTTCACGGGATAAAGTTGTAGTTTGATTTAGGCTATTAATGATAACCAAATTAAGTTGAATGAGTTGTCACAATCAGAGACGGCTGATGGCATTTTGAACTGCTTAGATACAACTGAAGTGGAGAAGGATAGCTCAGTGGCTTCCTAAGGTGCAATGCTACTTCAGAATGCTTTAGTTCAGAAGCCGGCAGAATCAAATGACAATCTTGGGCCAAGAAAGAAATCATTATCTGATATTGGGAACCTACTGGTATGCTTCATTATCCTTTTTGAACCCTGCTTTATTTTTCTTAAAGAACTAAAATGTTTTATAGTGAGTACTTTGTTCTCTGCTCTATTAATTTTCTTACCCTTATATGGGACTGTTTGCGCTTCAGAAGTATTTTTTTAAGGTACTTATGACTCCTAATTGCCATTTTGCATTCAAAATATACTCTTATTGCTTGCTGGGGTTTACCCCTTGGAGCATTTCATTTTGTTTCTCCTTACTCTCTGACTAAAACATTTTAAACCCTATATAGGTGAATGCAGACGCTGCAAAACCTGCCTTAAAGAACTGTAGATGCTGAAGACAAAAAAGAAGCAAAGGATACATTGCAAGCATAAGGTTGAGATATGGAAGAGAACATTATTCTTCATTTGCCTACGCTTTTTACTACAAATTTGATTTAAATGCTTGAAACTTACGGTGTCATATCATAATTCAATACAAATATATTTGGATTATTGGATAAGCATCGGCCAATTGGAAGGTTATTGACTTTTCTTATAAAGAAATCAAAGTCATCTTCTCATTTTTTACGTTGAAGATTTGGTTGCATTTTAATATTTATAGGCCAAGATGAAAGAAAAAGATTAGGCTAATTGTTTATGAGCCCCTAAAATCTATAGTGACCTATTGGAAATTATATGATAATTTAGATGTCCTAAAGGTTAACGTGCCAAGTCGTTATGCTGGCACTATTCTGTTTTAGTATTTGTTGGATTAGAATGTACTCATTGTTTTAAGTGAGTATTATTTTTGAACTCTTATGGAGCTTCTTTGGCATGGCAAGTTAAGTTGCATATCCTTTTTTTCGTTAACGGAATTCATTATCTTGCTATATTGGCAATTAGCAGTGTGTGACAATTGGTAAACTGTACGAATACATGTGTGGAAGTTTGAATTGTACAGATGAAAGTGAATTTTAACAACTCTAACGATTGAATTTGTAACACAGTTTAGCAATTTTTTTCAAAAGCTAACTATTTCTGCCAAATACTCAAGTATTATGTCTTCTACTTTTCTACTTTCCTTTTTCTGTGTTTTCCCCATGTAGTAGGCTGATTACATGAAACAATGAGTATAATACTGATGATGCTATATGATCTACAAATGAATGGTTTCTTATAGCATGCATATCCATATATAGCAAGCAAAGTTTCACTTAATTGGTTATTATATTTGATTTGAGTTAAACTTGAATTTCTGGATTTTGACTTTTAGTTTGTTTCTCTGTTGCAGAGTTGGCTTCATTTCATTCCAGTGACTCTTTAAATAGGTCCAAGAACTCACTAAATAGGTAATTGTCTTATATCTTCTTCCCTCTTTGTGTTTATATTTATTTTTCCTCAGTTGTGTTCGAATATGACAAACAAGAACTACAAGGGCAGCTAAGAATATCCAGCAATCCATTACCGGTTGAACAATTAATTGGCCATATATCTTAGTACAGTTAGGTCAGGTTTTTGGGGATGGTTGTCTCTCTATATATTTGTTTCATTTTCTCTCATTTTGGGTATTCTTCTCTGTTCTGTGTATTTATTCTTTGTTTTAAGGTCAGTTGCTTATTTTTATTTTATGTTTTTTTTTTGTGGGTTTTCAATTCGTTAATTTGTGACTTTGTTTAGATTTTAATTTCTTCTTTCGTTTATGATTAAATCGATGTTGGGTTTTGGTTGTTGAAAATATGATTTTTTCTGCTTAAGCTTCTTGGCATTTTTCTGGGATTTTTAGGCTTTCAGTTGCAAGGGTAACAGAACCCTAAAATCCCAGAAATCGGTATTGGTATTTGTATTAATGAATTTCCATTTCTCTCCCAAAACAATTTGTTAATTGAAAATTGTTTTCTTTCTGCAGAAGGTGGTAGTGAAATTGGATTTACATAACAACAGAGAAAATAAAAAGGCCTTGAAAGCAGTCTCCAGCCTTACAGGTATCAATTTTTTCTTTTAAGCATGTTGGTTTAATTTGGCTCCGTGAAAAACTTAGAATATAATAAAAATGTAAAAACAATTCTGAATTATTTTTCATTCATCAGGACCCACTAAGTTCTTTGTATTGGTTGATAAGTTAATGAAAATTTGTCAAGTTTTATGTTTTTATGTATGCTTATTGTGTATAAAATGATCAGTGTCTGTAAAAATTGAACCTTTGGCTTATTTCTGTTCAAAAATTAAATTTTTCGATCTGCTTTTTCATATTGTGGGATGATTATTTTGTAAAAACTTGACCTTTGGCTCTTACATGTGTAAACCTGAGGATTTGGAGTTGCTTTCTTTGTTGGTTATGAATTTTAGGTGACTAAATTGGTGGTTTCGTATATTAAGTTAAGTTACAAAGTAGATTTTTCCTTCGTTTTGGAAAAGTGTGTAGCGAAGTTCCTGTTCATTACAATATTATGATTTTGATAAGAGCTTTGTCTACATGTTTTTTGTTGAGTAATGGTTTACTTGGTTAGAAGAAACTCTTTGAGGTTATGTTAAAATCTATTTTGTGGATGAATCTAATTAGTTAAATTTGTCGGGTTTAAGTTATGTAAGAAATTTAATTGCAAAGTTGAGTCTTTTTTTTTCTGAGTTATGTTAATAATTCTACCTAAATTTTTTGTAAATTCATGGTTGGGTTTAAGTTATATTATTAAACATGGATCATTAAAGTCTCAGTACAACTGGATGTTTGTTTACTTGCACAAATTTTTTGTGCATAGAAGTTTGTTTCTGCTTCTCAGGTTCTTTGTCGCCGTGTTTATTATTTGTGTTTTTCTTTATTCATTTGGGCTGTCTCAGTGATTGAAGATCTTAGTCAAGGTTCTTTCCCTATCATTTCAAGCTAGATTAGCTGATGAGTGATGCTCTTTGTACTGGTGCAGTATCATTGGTGCTCACTTTGTATTTTTCCAGTCACTATATATCTGCTCAACTCTTGGGGGTCAATTATTTGCCAGTAGGAATGTTTAATTGCTTGATCAATGATTTCGATTCAATTTGAAGAAGAAATAGTACTTTTGTTCACATATGAGTAAGATGTCTCAATTGTTCATTGATTCTTAGGTGCTATGTCTTTTTAGTTGCTTTTTGTAGAAACTATTCATGCCTATTGCGCCTAATACATTCAAGTCCCGCGGCAACGCGTGGGCATATTTTCTCGTCATTACTAAAGACATAAAAATAAAAATTCAATTAAACTCTCCTGGTTGTAAAAATAGAATGACTTTCTTTATCTAAAGACATAAAAATAAAAATTCAATTTCTTGCTACCTTACCTAAATGACACTGAGCAGAAAGAAAAAGAGGATTAAAAGTATCTCAGAAGCCTCAAGATCTTAATCCAATATTTGCCTCAATCAAAGAAACGCGGACCGATTGGATACCCGGCAGAGAGAAGAAACTGAGAAAATAAATGCATGCTCAACATATCATTACTAATTACCAAGCAAAGAAAAAATGCAAGAAACTTTACTAATATTTTCTATGTCGTAGTTACACAGTGGTAAAGAAGCAACCAAGAATCACTCTGGTGCTTCCAACTGGGTGGATTTAGACCGCTAAGCGACTTAGTGGCATTTCAAATCCACTTGGACGCGTCGCATGATTGACTCGTACTTGTCCACATCTCATCACGCCAAAAGTATATGTGTGAAGTTTGTTTCAACTATTCTATTTCAAGCGCTTAAATTCGTCTTACAAAGGTACGAGGGTATCGTTTGATACGTACCTTTGTCATTTTTACGGAAACAGTCATTTGACAATACAAGGGCTGGGTAAGACATCGGATCCAGTTCAGACTAGTCAAGAGGCCCGACCCATTTAATTTGCTCTCATTACTTGTGAAATGCTGTGTCATAGCAGCTGGAAAAAAGGAGAAAGGAATAGGGACACTCAGCTGTGTGGAGGAAGCTGAAGACGGAACAAGGGTTTTGGCAAAGCCTCCCTCTCTCGTAGTCATTCTTTCACTGGGTACGTGATTCTTCATCATCCCCTTCCATCCTTGCTCTTTTATTCCATTCGATATATTTCTCAAAATTGTTATCTTTTTAGTTATCTGGGTCTGATTTTCGTTCTCCAATCTGTTGTGTTAAACCCCTTTTCCGTGTCTGTGCCATTTGGTTGCATATGTTGTTAGAGTGTATATCCTAACAATTAGAAGAGCCCATTTCTGATTTCTTTCAATTTTTTATTTTGTTAAAGGGTTTGTGGTTATACTGCGATGCGAGCTAGCTTTCTGGGTCGCTCAAAGGATTTTCAGAGTAGGTAAAGGTTGAGTCTTGGAGTAGGAGACTGGGTGTTGATTTTGAAGTGTAATTAATGACTTCTATCCCATTGAAAAACATATGGATTAGGCGGCAGCAATGCCCCTGTGGGGATTGGAAATGCTATGTGACATATAAGGGAGACTCTGAAGAGGCATCATCCATAGCATCCCAATTGGTTAAGAATGATAGTACAACATCGGAAGCTATGGTTTCCCCCTATGTTGGAATGGTGTTTAAGAGTGACGATGATGCGTTTGAGTATTATGGCAATTTCGCTAGGAAAAACGGTTTCTCAATTAGGAAAGAGCGGTCTCGACTTAGCCCACAATTGGGTATTTATAAGCGTGACTTTGTTTGTTATCGTTCCGGGTTTGCACCCATGAAGAAGAAGCCTACAGGGGAACACCACAGGGATAGGAAGTCAGTCCGCTGTGGATGCGATGCAAAAATGTATTTGTCCAAGGAGGTCGTTGATGGAGTTTCTCAATGGTTTGTTGTGCAATTCAGTAATGTCCATAACCATGAACTTTTGGAAGATGACCAAGTGCGACTGCTTCCTGCTTATCGTAAAATTCATGAGGCTGATCAAGAGCGGATACTATTACTTTCTAAAGCTGGGTTCCCCATACACCACATAGTGAAGGTGTTGGAGTTGGAAAAGGGGATTCAAGGTGGACAGTTACCCTTTTTAGAGAGGGACGTTAGAAATTTTGTTCAAAACCGTAAGAAAGTTGTCCAAGAAAATGATGCTTTGCTCACTGAAAAACGGGAGAACGATACATTGGAACTTCTTGAGGCATGCAAAGGGACAAAAGAAGCGGACGAAGATTTTGTTTATGATTTTACAGTTGACGAGAATGATAAGGTTGAACACATTGCATGGTCATACGGTGATTCAGTCCATGCATACACTATGTTTGGTGATGCAGTTTATTTTGACACTTCATATCAGTCAATCACATATGGCGTGCTTTTTGGAGCATGGCTTGGCATTGACAACCATGGAAGGACCATTTTCTTTGGTTGCGTTCTTTTGCAAGATGAAACACGTCGTTCCTTCTCGTGGGCTTTACAGGTTTGCTATCCAATACACCCACTTTACCGATTTTAGATTAGCTGTGTCTTTGTATCTGTCCACTTACAATGATTTTTACTTCTTTCATACAGACTTTTGTTCGTTTCATGAGAGGGAGATTCCCACAAACAATTCTAACTGATCTCGATCCTGAGCTTAGAGATGCAATAAGAAGTGAATTACCGGGCACTAAGCATGTCATTTCCATTTGGGATATTCTTCCCAAGATATCTAGCTGGTTCTCTGTTTCACCTGGACCACGCTGTATAGAATTTAAATCTGAGTTTGATGAGTTATATCGGCTGGAGAGTTCCGAGGATTTTGAGCTTCAGTGGAATCAAATGATTTCAATGTTTGGGCTTACTACTGATAAACATATTGCTTTACTTTATTCATTCCGGGAATCCTGGGCTCAATCCTATATTAAGGGTTACTTTCTTGCTTGTATGGCAACGACAATATATTCAAAGTCTGTAGATGCATTTTTCAAAGGAATTTTCAGTGCACAAACATGTTTGCGTAGCTTTTTCGAGCAGGTATATTGGTTAATAACTTTTATGCTTGATATATGCCTATAATTCTTTAATTGGTATGGTTTCTTATGCTTGAACACCTTGCAGGTTGGTATTTCTGCCAATTTTCAAAATCAGTCACATCGAGAGATGCAGTATATGCATATTAAAACAAGCATTCCTATTGAAGAGCACGCAAGGAGTATTTTGACACCTTTTGCCTTCAATGCTTTCCAGCATGAACTTGTGCTCGCCATGCAATATGCTGTATCTGAAATGGCCAATGGGTCATATCTTGTGCAGCATTTTAAGAAGATTGAGGGAGAGCGTCTTGTGATATGGATACCAGAAGAGGAACAGGTCCACTGTTCCTGTAAAGAGTTTGAATCTTCAGGATTGTTATGCAGACATTCTCTACGTGTGTATGTGGTCAAGAACTACTTTCAGCTTCCTGACAAATACTGTTTAAATAGATGGCGGAAAGAAGGCTCGCTTGATTATTACGATGACCACATTGCTCGGACTAGTGATGAGGAATGGTTTCAAGATTATCAATGCCTTACTGATACCCTGTTAACAGAATCATCAGTTACAAAGGAGCGTTCTGATTATGTTCACAGGGAATTGACAACACAGCTCACAAGGATTCTTAATGAGGTTAGAAATATGCCAGAATGTGAAGGAGTAGCTATGGATCTGACATTTTCCCCTACTGGCTAATTTGAAGCTGCAGTAGGTCGTGTGTACTGTATTGGTAACAAATGCAAATGCAACTGCAACATGTTTTGAGGAATTGGGAGTACAGTCAGAGGTAACGAAGTTATGATCCCGAGGAAAGGCGATGGGACAATATGACTTTGCATTCGATTTCTCTTGTTTCAAGCGGAAAAGTGTTAACATGTTGAGAAGGGATAATCAGAATTCAGAAGCACCTTGAAAAAAGACTTTGTAACTTGCTGATGTATGGTATGATAAGATTCACAACAAAGAGGATGTGGAGAGAGGTACTTACCTAAGGTGATGTACTCTGTATATACATTGGTAAAATTTAGTTGGTAAAGCAGAGTTTCTTCTAGTTTTTGTGCTCTTGCCCTTTCTTTCTGGATAGCTTACCAAGCCTTTAGGTCTACTAATATATTGCGGCAAACAGTACTGGAACTGCTGGCATGACACATCTTTTTGGGCAATTGCCACTCGCATCTTGTCATTGTCTCACGATAACGGAAATCCCTTGTATTGGGCCACGCTGATCCCACCTGCAATGCAGTGTGAGAGATTGTTGTGGTCAGACATTCCTACTCATGATTTGCCCCATCTAGTTCTAGATTTTTCCCTTCATAATTGATTGAATTGGCAGGATGACGCCAACCAATTTCATCGATCAACATTGGATAGGGGCCCCTACGTACAGTACACTACCCTACAGGGAAAGAGAGGAGATCGAGAGAGTCCGAAGTGTCGGTGATATTAGTCATCTTAACAGTGTATATAGGAAGCAAGAATGAGAGTGAAAGTTGAAGCGCATCGAATGGTCGGTTTTCACACTCCACAAAACTAGTAGATGACAAAAAGGCAAAAACCAATTTGCCATGGAATGAAAACATGGTCATCCAATCCATTAATTTAATATCCTAATATCCAATCCACTAATAATTTAATATCCTAATAATTTGCCTATTTGTCAAATAATATCTGATTTCATTTTATTGTTAATGATACATGGATCTCGAATTTTTACATTCATCATCCGTGTATTTACACGCATTTAGACTAATCTTGGCCATTCAATTCATCAAATGAACTGAATGAGTTCACGTCATATTATTCTCTTATTCAGCATGATAAGGTGCAAACATGTATTATGTTATAATATAGCGTGAACTCATTCAGTTAATTTGATTATTTCAATTACCAAAATTAGTCTAAATGCGTGTAAATGCACGAATGATAAATGTAAAGATTCAAAATTCATAACGTTAATTAATTAATTAGTTCATTAGTGAATTTGTATCTGTGTAAGTGGCTAAAAAACATTAAAGACAATATTTTTTTATTCGAGAGATATACTCAAATAGTTTAATATGATGTGATAGACTTTAGTCCAGGGTATATGACTCATATTTAATTAACATGAAAATAATATAATAGACGATGGAAACAAGAACATAAAGGAGACGTTCCAGTACTATCAAGTCTAGATACAATAATTAAGGAAACTATTAAACATACTGATGATGATGATGATACAATCAGTTTACAAACTAGACAAAACATATGCAGCTTCAGCTTTTGGACAAAAACTAATATCCCCTTAATTAAGCGGCAATAATGGGCTGGCGTTGGGCTTCAATCCTGATTTCCTCCTTCATTTTTCTTATAAACTCTTCGAATTTCTTGTTCAATTCATCTGTACTGCTCATCTTCGAGCCGTACTGATCATCTCCAACGTCAACATTTGTTGCTAGCTCTTGTCTTTCCATTTCTTCTCCTCCTTGCTCCATCAAAGACAGACTGACTTCTTCATCTTCTTCTTCTTCTTCTTCATCTTCTGCTGCTGCAATGAAAGCTTCAGGCTGCATTTCTTCATGGTTCTCTGTATATAACGAAACATTTTGTTGTTTTTCTAGATCTTGTAGTTGTCCAACTTCTTCTTCTTCTTCTGAAGTCGACGTTGGTTCTTCTTCTCCTTCGTCAGCCACATAAGCGATGTCATCCTGGCCGAGAGACGACCCAATCTCAGATAAGTTAGAATTAACTGATGATGATGTTTAAGACTTTCCACCGAGGTCGGACATAAGCTCATCGGATTCAACATTATAACTGCAACCGCAAGAATTAATCGAAGTTTTTGCAAGAAAAGCAAGGATTTCATTACAAATAAGAAACATGTACTTCCTGTCGAGGGTGTGGGTAAAGATTGACAAAAGCATGTGGAGAAATAGGCATTGACCTGATTGGAGGAATCGGGAAGTAAACAAAAACCTGATTATGTTACAAAAAGAAACAAGGACAGCAAAGACACTGAGACTACAAACTTCAATGTCCTTATCATAAACAACTTGGCATGGTACTTATTGTTGATGAATTTGTCAATAGCCTGGAGCTTCTGATCCTCACTACTTTGATGATCCATATATATATGTGAGTGTGATTGCTTACAGATTTAATGAATGAAGAAGCTAGGGTTACAAGGGAATGAATGGCCTGGTTTTTTGTGTGTTTGTGAATGAAGAAGCTTGGTACAGTTTCATCTCTTTTACATTATCCTTATATATATATATATATGTGTGTGTGTGTGTCTCCGGATCAAGTACCCAGTTTTCTTTCTATTTAGTCCGTTCTGGAAAGGATACTTTTCGGATCTTTTCCTCTTAATTCATTAAATTAAGAAATACGTGTTATTGAAATTTAATCCAATAATTACAAACAGGAGCTCACTTTAACAGTTATAATAATTTTAACCGTTTGATCAAATTTTAACGTATGAATCTTCCTAATTTGATGAATTAGTTAGAAGAGATTCGGAGAGTATCACTTTTGTCCCTTCCTAGTGCTGGAATCTGGACAAAAGAAATTGATTGGGGCAGTAGGCGCTGCAGTCAGCCAGTCAACATTTCCCATGCAAAACCCCAAAAGCAATGTTAATTGTGTATTAAATTGCATATTGAAGTCCAATTAAGTATTATCCGTAATTTTTTTTTTTTTTTGAACGAGGTAATTATAAGTTCATGTGTTCAACAGTTCAAGCGCCCTCTCTCTCTCCCTCTCCCTCTCCCACCATCTTTTCATGTATATATTTATATCATCTTAAATCTATCTACATCTTGAGTCTTGAAGTAATCCCGCTGAAAAGCACAGTGACCGTCTCTCAGAAGAGCAAGGTTCAAATACCTGGTTAGTCCTTTTCACTTCACTTTTTTTCTCTGAAATAATTTTCTGAGACTGTTTTGATTCTTTCTGATGATATATATGTATATATACATATACTTACAGTGCATACAGCTGATAAATTGGTAATTTGTGAAGTGCAGTTATATATATGTTATTTTGAGGCACAATATTTCGAAGCCACTGATCAACCGTGATGAGAGGAGGCGTAATACTGAGAACCGTCGACAATGGCTGCAGGAAACTTTGCATATCTAATTCTGTGGTTGCTTTGTTCTTCGGTATACCTACTACGTACTACAACTTAAGTTCGTCCTTCCCCACATGCATCATGCATGGATCGATCTAACCCTTTACTCTTAATATCCTGATTCTGTTATGAAAACTAATTACATTAGTTTCGAGATCGATAATATTAATTTGGCCATGCATACCTGCCTGCCTTGGTATAGTAATAACGACGGATCTATTTGTACTGTTCATTTGTTTAAGGGATATAATTGTTTAAGCTCATTCATAGATACTTTATTTCTACTCCATCACTTTCTTCATGATCCATTCCATTAATCTAGCTAGTTATTTACTTGCATGTTTTAATTTTACATATTCATAAAAATATCAACCAAATAGTTAATTAAATACGGCGTAAGTACCTGTCTTAGTTGACTGAAAAATGTTTAGGAAATCAAATTTTTAGGCATCTTTAATAGACCACATCATTGTGGTCTACAAAAAAAATGTTTTAAAATTTTGATTACCTCAATTGGCTTTCTAAATCAAGTGTTTTCTAATATTTTTTTGAAATATTAATTACTAGAGGTTTTGATTAACATGTACGTATTTATTGAATTGCAGTTGTGGAGTTAATTCACTTGGGAGGTGTTGGGGAAGCAGCAGCTGGCATTAATAGGCAGGTCTTTTCCAATGAAACCCACACTACAGGCCCTGCCCGGAAGCTATTGCAGCAGTCAGCTGGTAATTATTAACCCCTTTCTCCACGCTTGTACTGATAATACAAGACGGTACGCTACTAACTTATAATAGATAATGTTTGAGAGATCAAAATTTTAAAATAAATCGATAAATTAAATAATATGTCATTAATAAAAAATAAGCATGTTAATTAACACTTTAATAATAATTTAATTATCAACATCCACATCATTTAAAGATAAACTTTGCTAAATACTGTTTATTTTGTGTGTGTGTGTGTGTGTGTGTTTTACTCCACGTCACTCATCGAATTTTGCATGGTCATTAATATGCCTGTCACAATATACTGGAAGGGAACTTTCTCGATGTCAATGCAGTAAAATCAGTAAATCAGAAAGCGTGACATCAATTTGGTTCGACATGATTGGGCCTTATCAAATATAGGTCATATGGACTGTGGTTCGGTGGACCTTCAGATTCATTTCTGACCCGGCATAATTTATGCAGTCTTAGAATGTGATGGACGTGTCCAAAATTACCATGGGTTGAGACCCTTCATTAATTTTTGGGCAAAGGAGGCCCATACAATGCTCATTTATTGGCCCATTATAATAATTTTATCATACTACTACACAATTCATACCAAGCTATGAGATTTTTTATTTTATTTTGAATAAACGATATATTTTTAATTACTAAGCAGAGAAGTAATGTTAGACTAGACTAAAGCTAGTTTATTCATATTAAGCTATTTTTTTAACATAATTAAGCATTTACTCATGGATCCAAAAGTTTGTATTTGAACCCTTGTATGCAATATCACTTGCATGTTTATTTACCAAGAATGGACCTGTGTTTATCGTTTCTTCTTCTTTAAAAAGAAAAGAAATGGATTGATATGTGTAAGAAACAATTATCATTAACTAATACACAATAAATGAAAAGGTAAGTAAATCTCAAGTTGAAAACCTAGATTTTTCGTATATGAACAACTAAGTATGAGATCACTAAGAGAAGTTGTTTAAGTCATACCTAACAACTAAATATAATTCACAAAAAAATAATCATTCATGGCTTATTCTAAATTAGGTTATGGTGGGAATTTCGGCTTTATAAGAACTCCTTGTACAATCATCACATTGGAGAGGAAATGACAGATAAAGTTTGCATAAAATTACTTGATGTAGATGAGGGTGGTGATAGAGGACCAGGAGGAGACATGAATCGTATCGGCACGGCATAGTAATATTCCAAGGCCAAACAGCCCCACTTCCCAATGGAATTCCAACCTACACGGTTCAGATTCTCAACGCCTGCGTTTCAGGTTGCAGCATATCCGACATTCACGTCAGATGTGGATGGTTTAGCTCCGCCCGCCTGGTGAATCCCAGAGTTTTCAGGCGCAATGACTACGATGACTGCCTAGTCAATGATGGTGAGGCTCTTGGCCCCGGAGAAACCCTATCTTTCCAGTATGCCAACAGTTTCCGTTACCCTTTATCCGTTTCATCTGTAGTTTGCTGCTGATCAACTCACAAAGCTAGCCTAGCTACATAAAATCTTTTGTTCAAACTCAATCAAAACATATGACTCGGTTCTTAATTATAGACTCGCTTTCTGGCCTATATGTGTGCAAGGATGAACTATTGTTTGAAGTTTGGAAAGCGGAAGTTGTAGTCGGGCTATTAAATGAATGTTTTTTCAGTACATGGTGTCGAAGTTATCGATGATATGTTGATACTATCTGGCCAACAATCGACATATTATTGATGCATCTTGAACAATGTCATGGACAATAATATATTGTGTTGATTTTGTTGTCCCTAACAAAATGTATACCAACACGTTATTAATGCATTTTTGATAATATCAATGACTGCTACCATTTCTTAATAAAGAACATACGTCTTGCATGGAGAATTCTTGTGGAATTGAATAAAAAAAAAATAGCAAAATGCCAACAATTACTAGTTGCCAAACTTGGATAATATTTAAAAGTACAAGGAATAATTTAACTTTAAACTGCTTCCCATTTGCTTCCATACACAAGTGTAATATATAGAAGTAAACTTCCTAGCTCTAGGAAGGCATGATCAAAAAGTAGTTGTGTCTTTACTTAATTAGTCTTTACTTACATGGAAGGAATCCATGGATTGATATATCCATAATCATAACTAAAATCTGAGACACCAACCATGGCATAAAGCACTTGGGAGAAGATGAAGATACCTCCCCCTAATATTACCAAAACGAGAATTGCAGAAATAGGGTTCTTCAACAACTCGTATAGCGGCGCGAAGGTCGCGTACAGAGCACCTGTACTCACCGTGAGAGCATACAGTCCATATCTCCGTACATTGTCCCAAAACTCTTCCATCAGCGGCCCTTCGGGGCCCAACGCCATTGCCTTTGGCTCGTCCATCGCCATCAGCGCCGCCATAACTCCTACGGAAACAGCTCCCATTATCCAAAACCTTGACGCGTTGTTTCCGCTGGAGTTTATTGGGGTGGAAGTATCGTTGACAGACTCTTTCCGGACGAGCGTTACACTATATAACTTGGATTTTGTAGCGGATGCTCTTGTTGGTGGACTATTGCTTGTGGCTTCGGAAGGGAGAGATGATAATATGGTTGGATGTTGAGGGTGTTTTGGTAGGGAGATGGGGATGATAAATGAGTTAGGGTTTGAGGATGGATATGAAGAATATTTGACGGGGTATTTTAGGAGGTGGAATTGGGAGCTCAGTGTAGACATTTTCATTTCTGGGAGCTCTCAAGCAGAGGACCTTCTGCTCTCTCACTCCAAAGTCTCAAAGCTATACAAGATATCTCGTTCTATATTATCCTTCTGATATTCCAAGTTTGTGGACATGGTTGCATGGCCTTATATTTCTTTAAAACAAGATAACTTTGATAAGAGGAGGTTGAATATTCAATGTCTATGCACCCACTGGCCTATTGGGTCCCTCAAGGCCTCACCAAATCATATGGGAATGGAGTGGGATCAGGGATGTGCACGAAAATCTTGTAATCTCTTTCTAGTCTATCAAACTTTCTTTTAACCTCTGTAATTTTTTAAGAGTTATAAATTTATAAAGTTTGATGGAGTTTTAATTGATTTTCCTAAACTTCATAAGAATTTTCAAGTAAATTTCTCCAAAATTTCGAGGGAAAAAACATAATTTGTTAGAACTTAAAATACACTATGAATCATTTCAAATTCATCAAAACCTTCACTTTTTAAATTAAACTAAATCTTGATTGAATATATCAATTTTTAAATACAACAAGAGTATGATTTCTTCATTGTAGGGTTTTTGTTTTTCGGTAACATGGAAGAAAAAGAGAAAAGAAACACATGAACAACTAGTCTAGCGGTTCAAGAGTAGCCATAAAAAAGAGTTTAAACTAAACAAGAAGGAATCTCTGCAAGCTCTTGGAAATCCTCTCGCTATATTATTTAAACTTGACTAACTAGTCAGTTGCAAAATTAAGCTCTCTATGAATATGATGCAAATTGCAACTTCAGTTCTCTTTGATTAACCTTTTGCATCTCTGAGACAAGACCATAGAGAGTGATTAAGGCTAAAAAAATCATGAATTAGAGACACCACCAAAGCATAAGCAACCTCCACAATAAAGATGAGAGAATAAGGATTTGGATCCCATTCGAATCCACTTTGTGGGGATCCTATAGATCATTACATCTTAGTCATTCATCGTGCATTATGCAGTCATAAATCATTTGATTTTTTATTTTATTTAAAATTAAACACAAATAGTACATGTCGAAAATTGGCCACATGATTTACGATGAACGACTAGGATGTGAGGATCCTTAGGATCCCCACAAAATGAATCCAAAGAGAATCCTCTCCTTCTTGGGTTGCTATGCAATAGCCACCACCATGTCCATGTGTTTAATTAAAGTTACTTCACTTATCATTATTTCTTACTTTTAATGGTTATTGATCTAGATTTAACTGATTTCAGTCGTATCTAAATTATAATGATAATTATATATTCGTTATTTTTTTACCTGTATGTAAATTTTCGTCACTTATAATTTGTACATGCATTTCAATTAAAACAATTCTTTGGCTATATTACAACAATGGTAACTGAATTACAACCTAGTTGCATTTTCATCGATGAATCCTAAATTAGCTCTTAAGACAGCTTGCTTTCTATCCAATTAGATATTTTTATTAACCAAAATGAGGAGCTATAGAGGGGCCAGAAAGGAAAATGTGCGAAGTAGAGTAACTAGCTAGTTGATTTAAAAGACATTTTTTTATGAAAATTAAAGGTATCATTTACCTTATATTACTTGGTATTTTCTTTCTTGGTCAGCTTAAATCACTTACCGAAGTCAATGGTAGTCTCCCTGTTTTAGCTTTTACCAGTTCTCCCTCACCGTCACCAGATGTCATGGGCTGCCTTGGTCTCCAAGCTCTGCAAAACCCCTGACTCATGCCCTGCCGCTGCCGCCCCTCCCTCTCCCTCCCTCTCTAAACATTAGGTTATTCCGCCCCTCCCCTCGACTTCCATAGCCTTCTCACCCCTCCCCCTCCCCCTCCCCCCTCCCCTCTCCTCCTTCCCTCTCTCTCCTCCTTCCCCTTTTCACTGAAAAGCTCACTCCTTTTCTGCTCTGCTTTCACCTTTCAACCCGCTGAAAAACCCCACCTTTTGTTTGTTTCTCGCTTTTCCGCTCTTTGGGTTTCTTCGTCGTCCTCGCCGTCAATGGCATTTCAATCTTCTGTTTGTTTCCGCTGAAACCAGCTGAGAGTGAGGTAGACCCAATTCGTCTTTTTTGAATTGGGTCTAGGTTTTACAGCAACGCTAGCTCTCTCTCTTCGTTTTCACTATTGGGCAGTTTTTATTTTCTTTTGGAGGCTTTTTGGCTTGAGTAATTTCCGCTCCCTGAGTACCTGCAATGGTAGGTTTTCTTTCCTATCATTCTTATTTGTTTGTTTATTATTTATCTGAACTTTACTGTGCTTTTTCTTCAATGAGATTGAGTTTTTATGAGAACCCAAGTTCTAAGTTAGGGTTTTATGGCCATTGGGTTGTTATTTGAGTACCAAAAAGCTTATTTCTTGTGAAGTTGTGATGTTTCAGGTAATGTGATAAAAGGGGGCTTCTTGTTCTGTGATTTTGGGTGTGTCTTAATATAGAGATGATGACGAATACTCATAGTTTTGTGTCGTGGGAGGAGCACACTCTGTGTCAAGAGCGCGGTAGCCGTGTGGTCCATTACTACTTGAAGGAGGCATCAGGGGAATTAGTCCTTGCTGTTGTAGGGACTGAGAGGAGTATAAGGCACATGGTGTATGTTCTTTCGGATGAGTTTGTGGAGACTTACGAGTCCAAGGGATTCATTAATGTGTGTACCAAATGGAGAGCAAGAAGAGAAGTTGTAGAATGGCTTACTTCCTTGGTCTCGAGGCGGTGCTGGTCGGAGTTTCCTGGTATGTTAAGTTATATATCGCACTTTTCAGGTTCCCTTTATGGAATTTTTGATGGCATTGGCTGAGTATGATGAATAATATCGTCCTTTGTTGTGATTTGTGAGTGGATTTAAGCTTATGAATACAAGTTATGATAATAATTGTCTCAATATACTTTTTTGAATAGAATGTCAATACGGAAGAAGACCTTGACATACCATGTTTAGAATAACAAATTTCATGAGCATGGTTATACTTATACTTTACTAAGGGGTAGCGATATATTATGTAAAGGTTGCATTGGAGATACTTGTGAGATTGACTTAAGTCATCTTTGTGTTGCATTGATGTAAATTTCTTAGTGTAGGGCAAGCAGTAGTAGGTCCCTCGAACATTGCATCTTTTATCTTTATAATTAGAATCTTGGATTTTAAATTTTGCAGACTGATTATCATAATGCTTTAGTTAAAAATGAATTGGAACTTTTTGTATAAGTTTGATATTAACGCTACCCTAACAAGTCTCACACAAGTAGGTGACTTTGAGAAAAATTATATTCAATGTTGTGCGTTTGTTTCATTTTGTTTAGAATCAGAGGTGAATAACTGGAAAAAAAAGGAAGTTCTTATCCAGAATTTCTTTAGTTAAGTCTGTTGTTGTCTCAGAAGCTGTTGAAATTTATATTAGTTTGTGAACAACTTTGGTTTACATGCCAGTTGAGCCACCCACAGCAACATGAAAAATTTGTTTATTTAATTCATGTCTATCTCCCCACTAAATGTTCTAGCTCTGAACATATTTGGAAGCGCAAATTGAGATGATATTTGCCTAAGATCCTCCCCTAGAATTGCACTTTTGAAAGAGTACATGGTTTCATCTATACTAGCATAGGAAGTTTTGAAAGTAATGGAAGTATGTTCTCTAATTTGTACGTTAGGTTATGTAGTGTGAGTGAGCATGCATGTGCATGTGCTTGCGTCCGTATGTGTGCTTTCTACGTGAAATATAGACTAGAATGATTTTATTTCTGAACATTGAAACATGGTGGTGTATTCTTATGTTAATGGTATGCGAGGTTTTCAAACTTTTAAAATGTATGGAGTTTATTTAATGAATAAATAATTTATTGGATGCTCAAGGTTGAGATATATTGGATATATGTTTTTAAGTAAATTGCTCTGATAGTGAGCTTTAATTATGTGAGTATAATACTGAGAACTAATAACTTAAGAGAGATGGCATGGTGATAATTTATATTTTCGAGAAATAAAATATATGTATTAAAGGGAAGGCAAGAATACGGAAAGGAGGCAAAAAAGGACAAAGAAATAATTTTTTTCCCCAAACAACAGAGTCTTAATGAGGATGTTTGTCCAACTACTGTTGTACGGCATTCCTACTTTTGTGTATGATAAAGAGTTATATTGCCTTTGCTTCAGGGGGCATTTTTTTAGTAATTGGGTGTGGCCGCATAAGGGGCATACTTGAACCTGCCTTTGAACTTTGGTAGAACTTATTTTAGCATATCAAAGCATTGTGTTTTGCCGGTGCTATATTTTCATTAGGATGTAATTCTAAGCTCATGTGCTTTCCATTAACAGATGGCTAGAGTATTGAAAGAAGGAAAAAAAATTGGGAAAGAAACTTTCTTTGAAACAACTTAGTTTTAATATGTAAAGGTATTTCTGTCCAACATGTTTTACAACAGTCCCACTTATATATGGCAAAAGACATTTCCAGTTTTATATATAGCATACAGTTTGCCTTTGCTTTGGTGAGGCAATTTCTTTTACATTGTTTATCTAATTGGGAGTTGGGAAGCATGCTAAACGCCTTTGAATTTCTTACAATAACCTATTATAGCATACCACAGTATTGGGTTTTGCCACTGTTAAGTTTTTCTTTAGGAATGTTACATGTAGCTCTAAGCGCCTGCATCTGCACATGGTATAGTCGATAGTTCTAAAACCAAGTAAACCATTCTTAATCAAATCAAGTAAGTTTTTCATTAGGAATGTAACGTAATCAGAAGATATCTGGGCTGATACATAATTCCTTTCCTATTAATCAACAGTAATTGCATTAGATAAATTTTACCTTTCAAATATTTTCTGTTATGAGAATGGAGGGAGTATTCTGGCCACCTTTTCTCTTAGAAATGAAAATTATTTTGGATTTGGAATCCAAAAAAAAGTGAATAACTTAATCGTTAATACCATACGTTAGTGATTTATGGTTAGAGGAGATTGCCTGTATTAATTTCGTTTCCCTTGATAAACCGAAATCCAACTTTTTGAAAAGAAAAATGTAAAGCCAATTATATTTCAGCATCTTTCCAGAAAGGAGAGGCTGACTGTTACGTGTCTCTTTATCGTCATTCTTTATAAGCTCTTTCTGCCGGCCTGTTCTCATGTCACATTAAACATCCTTGCCTTCTACTTCTTCAATCTTCACAAATCCACTGCACCCACTTAAGGAAGGGAGGAGAAAGAGAGAGAGGGAGAGCTAGTATGAGTTCGTCGACGGAATTTTCAACCTCTAATGATAGAATGGGTACTCTATCAGACCTTAAATTTTATGCCTATTAATTTCTTTTGCTTCGTGTTTTGCACTCTCTTTCGTGTTTATTACATGTTTACCTTTTAGAACCACGATTTGATTGCTCACTGAACATTTTGGAATTTTAACCGGATGTGAATTATTTATTCTCTCTTTCATTTTGGTTTTGTTTCATGGGTTGGGGGCGATTGGAAGAGGTGCGGGCGGTGAATCTTAAAACCCTAATTTTGTGGCCTTTGTTTCTCACCTGGGAAATTTTGGAAGATTTTAGTTCCTGTAAGTAGTTATTTGTTTACACCCCTAGGAATTGAGAATCTGGCTATGGAGTCCTTGCTTCTGTTCAACGGAGACTATGTAGCGAGTGTAATGTATCATACAACACAATATGTGAAATTGTAGCCAAACATGCATATTTAAGTTGAAATTCCTGTTTTGAGTAACATGTGAAACTGTTGATTTGGAGAAATTGCATAAACTTTTTCTTTCCATAGTTCCGTTGCTTTCAACCTCTCATAAACTTTTTGGTTTAAGAAATTAATTTGTCAACCTCTGATAGTGTACAAAATGAAAATTTAACGCGATAAGCTTAATTGGAAGCATTAAGTTATTTTGGGCATTAATAGGTTTGAATAATGATTTCTCATATTTTGGGTTTTCTAAGGCTTGTTTCTTGTTACAGGGGTTTCTAAGGTTTAATCTATTAATATTGTGAAATTAACATTTTGTTCACCTTGGTCATTGATCATTAAACAAAGTTCAGTAAGCTGGCTGCTTGAGTACCTTTCTTTGTCATCTATCTTTTTCAATCTTTAATCTTTGTTAGCTTTAATTTAGTGTTTTCCAATCGTCACATGAGCCAAATGTTACCATAAGGCATCATGAATACCTACTTTGGGCCAATTGGTGAGGTGATTATGTTCCTGTATTTAGTCCATTCTCAATTAGAAAATACATGAATGTTGGGCAGCCTGCTATGGGTAAAATCCTTCTTATGGGTTGAAAATTCTGTGCTGACTAGCAAAGATTGGAATGCATACCATGGTTTGCCTCTTTGTCACTTGTTGATACACTTTTTTTAACTGTTGAGTTTTCGAATTCCCAAGATCAGTTATTGCATTATGCTTTCATGTATGGTCCCTTGTCACTTTTCACTCCACTAATGCTCATTTGAGTTTGAAGTATAAATTTAAAGCAAACCTACTCTTCTATAACAGATTCTCCAACAGATGAAGCAACACAACCATTGTCTGGACTCGGTGCTCGTCAAACTTCTCTGCCTGATCACACGGTATTCACATACTGTTATTTGCTAAGTCTGGATTTTGGGTTCATACATACATTTTACTAAGTTCTCCCTTTCCTATCAAGGTTCCGAGGAAAGTGAAAGTTCACAATTCAGACATTGAATGGTCTGGTGTTGCCTGGATTTGTGCCAAACAGCTGAAGCATTATCCAGCATTTTACAAGAATGAAACTACCATTTCTGTAAGCATCAGATGATCTACCTCTTTTGTTGTATAAGTTATTATTTCTGCATTTAGTGGTGCTCTTTATTTCCTTAAGTAGCATCTTTTTAATTTTCATTGATACGTGGTGTAATGTTTATTATTGTGACCCTGATTTTCAGGTCCATTCCTTTGTGTTTGTAATGGCTTTGGAAGAAGAATATCATTACCTAGGTTACGTGGAAGACATGTATGAAGACAAGAAAGGGCAGAAAAAGGTTAAAGTGCGTTGGTTTCACCACACTCGGGAAGTCAAGGATGTGATTACTCTGAATCCACACCCCAGAGAAGTTTTTATCACACCTCATGTTCAGGTGATCAGTGCTGAGTGTGTTGATGGTCCTGCAACAGTTCTGACTCCTAAGCACTATGAAAAATGCTTGGCTGTTGTAGCTCAAAAATCTTCCTCTGGAATATTTATGTGCCTTCGGCAATTTGAGGACTGCAAGGTTAAGCCCTTCAGTCTTGCTAAATTGCGGGGCTATTCTAATCAAGCAATTCTGTCGTCTTTAGATGTCCACATCTCCAAGCAGAAAGCCAAGTACAATAAATTTTGTCATGAAGATGAGGAAGAGTTAGCACCTGATGATCCTATGAGGGTGAACCTTAAGAGAAACAGAAGCAGCGAGGTGAATCAGGGACATTCTGGTGTTAAAAATTTGGTCACTGAGAGTCATTTACCAAATTGCGTTCCAACATACCAAAAGTTGAAATTAAAATTATCAAGGAAAACCATGGGAGTTAAGATTGCTGGTTCAGAGCCCCTATGTCCAGTGTCTTTTAAGGTTGATGAAAAGATAGAGTTGCTCTGTCAAGATAGTGGCATACGAGGATGTTGGTTCAGTTGTCAGGTCTTGCAGACATCTCAGAAGCTTCTCAAAGTTCAATATGATGATTTGCAAGATGTAGATGGATCTGGCAATCTCGAGGTATGTGGTCTTATAGAGATCTTTATTTTGAATTCGTTTCTGGCTCATATTAGAACATAGGGAGCATGGGAAAACATTTTTTTGGTATATATTTTGTTGACATTGCCTCAGAAATAAATCTGTAGTCACTTTTTTACTTCAAGTAAATATTACTATGTAGCTTGGTTGCTGTTCGCCTATTCGAAGTGATTTGAATGCATGATTATGAGTTGAATTAACAAATTGCCTGTAAGTTAACATTGTGTTCTAGTATGCGCATTTGCAAGAAATGTTATGTTACCTTTTTGGTAATTGGCTTGTTTGTGTAAACTAATCGCTGAATGAATTTAGACCTTCACTTTTTTTTTAATGTGTAGGAGTGGGTCCCTGCCTTTAAAGTTGCTGCTCCAGATAAACTAGGCATGAGATGCTCAGGTCGCCTGACAATCCGACCCTTTCGTCTCAATGCTTCTACAGAGTGTTGTATTGAGGTTGGAGTAGCAGTTGATGCGTGGTGGTGTGATGGCTGGTGGGAAGGTGTTGTTACTGCAGTTAGCATTTCTGGGGCTGATACTATACAAGTCTACTTCCCTGGTATCCTCTCAGATGGAAAGCTGTTTTGTATTTGATTTAAATTATGTTTCTTACCTTTCAGATAGTGCTTTGTTTAGTTGACTTAAACCTATCGAAACTGGTAAAATGTTTTATCTGGGTTTCCGATCAGTTATCGGGATGAGTGATGTTTCTTTCAATGTATCCTAGGTGAGGAGAAGCTGATGAGTTTCCAGAGAAAGGATGTTAGGGCTTCCAAAGACTGGGTTGAGAACAGATGGGTTGATGTGAAGGCAAAGCCTGATATACTCTCATATGTATCTGAAAGTATCAGTTCTAGCATGAAGCTCTTATCAATCTCTGCTAGTTCTATGGCAAAAACTTGTTCTAAACATGAAGCTGTTGAAGAGAAACAGGAGTCACCAGATTTAGCCCCACCGGATGAGGACTCGGGAAAGGTGACGAGGGTGAATTTGCGGAAGCAGCCTTGTACCAGTAATGAAGACGAAATTAACAATTCAAGTGACGGCAATGGCAGTGATGATTGTGCTTGTAACAAAACGGAGAAATGTGAAGCACCAGAAGCCACAGAAGTGGCTGCTCGTGGCTGAGGTCGAGAATTTTGACCTTGCTGATAAGATTGTGGAAGGTTTAGGGGCCTGGTTCTTGTAGATAAGACGAACTGTCGGCATAGAGGAAAAGAACTATCAAGTTTCTAACATCATGGAATTGGAAGGTGTACAGCTTTATATCTGATAGATTAATTAACTCCAAGTGCTCCAAGTAAATGTGATCCAATGGTGATCAGGTGTTAGGCAGAAGCTCAATTAATACGCAGGAGTAATTGGTGCGTGCTTTTGCACCCATGCCTTGTGTAGCAACTTGTGAAAACTGCCCTATGTATGTATCTTAATAGTATATTTTGAGTCAATAGTTTTCAGTCTTCAGAAGTAATTGTAAAGCTTATCAAGGTAAAGACCTCTTTAGCTAAGAATTGACGCATTAAGATGTTAACCGTTCGAGCTTTCACACAAGTGCCATGTCCGTAACATGATTACAAACGTAGCACTCTGAGTGAAAGATCACATGACCAGTAAATATAAGGAAAGCAGAGACTACCGTTCTTTCATATCTGTTAAGCTAGTTGAACATCGTAACTAAGAGATTTTTGTGAAATTGAGAGAGGATGATATAGCAGCAGTAGCATTTGCGAATTTGTTATTTCTCTCGAACAAAACTGATACACATGAACATAATTTACAACAAAAACAAGAAGCCTGCAACAGCGTCACCCATCAAGGCTGAGCGACACCCTTTTTCACGAGCATGTCATAAACCCTGTCGATCTTATTAGGTTCAATCTTGAATAGGTGATGGACATCTGATCTTTTACTGACTCTGCCACTGAAGATTTCAATTGATATAACTTCTTGTATCTTAAGGAAAACGGGTGGTGCCAATCTAATCTCGCTGCAGAGGCGTTTCTCCTGCCATGGCACAAAAAAAGTAGATTGTTTCAGAAAGAAAGGCTTTTAACAAATATAACGAGTATAAAAGAACACACCGTATCGAATTTAGGAGCGAGCAGCAATTGTGCTTGCTTATTGACAAACTAATAAGTTGGTAAATGAATACTTACAGCTTCAGACAGTAAATCTGATCCATAAAATCCCATTATATCCATTTCGCTGGCAGAGCCTGAAGTGGCTTGTCCAGCTGGCCTTGTATTTGAGTCCTTGCCAATGCCAACAGACTCCGAGGACATGAACAAATTTGGACCTCCCTGACTGCTTGGACCAACTTGCCCACTTTCCTTTGCTCTGCGAGCACTTTCTTCAGCTTCCCTTCTTCGTTTCTGTACAAGATATCTATCTGCCTCTGCCGATGTACGGCAACCAGCAGTTCTCGCTTCCTGTAAGATTATATTGCAATATTCGTGAAAGGACTTAATAAAGCCATCCGTGATTCCGTATCCACGTGTATTTGTGCGTGTCTGCTATAAGACAACTGTTTGTAGATTAAGAGTGTGATGAGCCAAGTGGAAAAAGCAACCAATAATTGGACATGATTTAGATACTATGCACTAAAACTTTTACGATCAGAGTTGCATGTCTATAGTGTGAAAGGAAAGATCGGCTCTTCTACATGAAAAATGGACAACGCATTCCAATTGGTAACTGAAAATGGATTAATATCCAAGAGCAGTTTGTTCTCAGCCAATTACCATACCTTAAGTTCTTGAATTCTTTTCAAAGTGCGATGCTCTGAAATAACTGTGTGAAGTAATTCGTCATGCTCTTCCTTGGAATGGAAACACATGAAGACATCATATCGTCGACATATAGCCCTTTCTTCAGGTGATAGGTCCTCCTCAAAAGGATTAGGATATAATAAATTTCTTTCTAGTATGAAATCCTTTCTACGCTTCCTCTCATCAAGTCTGCAAACAAATTATCCCCATGAAGGTTAAAACATCAATAGCTTTACACAATAATTGCTGCGTCAAATCTCAACTTCTAGTCATGTTATATTGCTACGTAGTATATAACTCAACGTACATCGAAAATACAAAAAGGAAGTTCAGCCAAAAAATAACACACAAAACAAAAATCCTCATCCGTTGCATTAATGACTAAAGTTCATATTCTTTTTTTTTTTCACTTCATTGTTAACTTGTCCTGCGTTATGCTACATCAAGTTCCATGAAATGAATGGATATGATATACTAATCTGAGTATAAATATGCACCAAAAGCAACTTAGTGAGCGACTACCTCTTTGCATAGATTCGCAACACTTTTAACTTCAGCTCACGCTCCTCATCAGTGTCAGTATCCTTAAACTCCATGTCAGCCAATAGCTGCTCAGAATCGTTATCGTATTCAGGATCGAACTCCTGCCTTTTGGCATTATAGCCACTCTCCACTAAAGAAGGACCCTTACTCCCCAAAGAACTTGGTTTCTTCCCTTTCCTTTCCGCATGAGGATCTGCCAGAAATAATAGTAACAAGTAAGATTCGGGAGTTCATCACTATCGTATAAAATTATGGATCCCACACCAATTCTCTAAACTTAATAAGCATATAGATAGTAGATGTGTAAATGTGTAGACGTTAGCGATAAACAAGAAATATTATTCTTCAGTCACATGATTCCATCTTAAGAGAACATCAGTCATGTGATTTACCTGAAAACAAATGCTCACACATCCAATCAGACGGAGTACAAGCATCATTTATTAGCCTTAGTGTTTAAACTTGTTTCGAATTATGTTAGGACATATAACCAATTTATAGGTGGAAACTTTGCATCACCTTCCAGTTTAATGACACCAGGACCATCTTTAACCTGGGCCATGCTGGATGGTTTCTTGTTACCGGCTGCTGCTGCTGCCACGTTTGCACCACTAGAGCGAAGTCCAGATTCTACATCTGAATTACAGGAAAGCAAAGAATAAACCTGAGAATCGTCCAAGATCATCTTTATTTGATAAAGTCATAAACAGGGAGTCAACGATAGATCTTATCTGACCAGAGTTCATGCTAGACATTAAACGGCCAGAGGGGCCACCTTTGTGCGTATCTTCCACTCTGAGTAAATTAAGAAAATTTCAAAGTTAAAATGTATCATATCATATGTGTACTAATAGTCTAACTCATGAATCTATTGGGATAGTGACCATACTTGGTTCTTGAAGGAGAAAATGGAGATTCCTCCTTCAAATTATGATCCCCCAGTGTAGGAAATCCTATAACAGTCACAAGTATTTGATAATAAGAAAAACTAACACCAAGTATAAAATGAAAAAGAAAATAATCAAAACAACCAGAAGGAATACATAAACTACAAAGTATATACCTCCTAATTCACCAGAATTAATGGCTTTTCTTATTTTAGTAGAAGAGAAATATATAAAAGCTGAATGCGGAAATTCATCTAATATGTGTCTTCCATGAGATTTATCATTAAACGTGAGGACCATTTGTATGAAATCAGCCACCCTATATGCATAAATCTAGCAATACAACAACAATTTTTTAATGAACATGGTACTGGTTCAGAATGGAAGGAAACAAAAATACCTAAACACGGAGAGGTAATTATCACTAACCTTTCTTGTCCTCGCCATGCCCTTTAGCCATAGCAAGAAGCTCCTTTCTATTTTTTCCAACAACATGTGACATGTCCTTGAACAGATATATTCCACAACTTGATTACTTTTGTGAAAAGTTAAAACTCGAATGAGAACTGACTTGTTCAAAATTGCATCATACCGGAAGAGGAAAGTACTGTGAGTTCAAATAAACATTTGTGTAGTGTTCTATGCATTGCTCTTTACTCTTCGTCCCAACATGCTCAGCAACTTCAGCCCAGTTCCCCAATCCATACATTTCAGTTGCCTACAATAACGAATGTATAGAAAAAAGACTGAAACCGGATACAAGTCAAATAGAAAAGGATCGCTAGCAACTTCATTTGAGGGATTAAAAAGCAAATTAAAATACCTCCAGGAGCAGTATTTCATCATCTGCATTCCAGTCTGGGCAAATAAGTGGGAAAGATAAATTGTCCTGTTGAAAGGGAAATGCAAAAGTAAGCGTAAGTGCAGGGAGGGATGCAATTCATTGTCCAAAGTCACTATTATTTGCATCATAACTGGATAAAAACTAGAATAACAACTCTGTCGTGAGAAAAATAAAATATTATAAGGAAATACATTAAAAAATAAACACCTGACCAGACATTTTTTACCATTAGAAAAGCATTTACAAACAAAGTTTCAGTTACATATAATGAACGTTATACTATTAGTTGAAGGGGCAAGTCAAAAGATAAAGTATTAGATGACAATATTCCTCTCAAGTTCTCAACTTCATAGAAAAAGGAAGTCTAACTCTTTAGTTGTTAGATAGTTGCTTAAACAGGGATACACTCATTTCTATCTTAAAGACACTCCATTCACATCACTTGTCAAATAATTACAAACCACGGAGAACTCTACTTAACAAGATATAAGAAAAAAGACACAGATCTTAATACTAACCATAACCCTGTAAGAGTGGTTGCTTTTGTGGGATGTCACCTCAGCTCCAACAGAAAAACACTCTATACACAGGTCAAAATCAGGGCACATACAACACTTGATTCGGACCTTCCCTGTGATGTCTTTATTGCAATAATTGCAGTGGTAATCCCTTTTTCCTTCACTTGTTGCCTGACCTGCACGCAAAATTTCGAAAATTGGAAATGAAATAAAGAATAACAAAGAAAACACAACTTTTTTGGATAATTATAACAAACGAAATAAAGAATGTCATTTAACAAAGACGAGACAGTAATTCTCTGTTGGCATGATTATAACCTCGTACTACCACTATAACAAGAAGTTGAAACAGCAAAGTTATACAAACCATTTGCAATATCTCACTTTTTAACGGATTCAATTGATTACTACATGATAGTGGGGAAAGTACCTGCAGCTGAAGACTCTAAATTTTCTCCAATGGATGCATTCTTTTTTCTCCTTGATCTGCTTGATCAAAAGTTGGTATTCAGATGAAACTTAATAGACGTCTCTAAAAGATAATGAAACACCAGTAGAATCCAAGTAGCAAAAACGGATATTGAGTAAAGAATTCTGTCATAGGACACAGGCAGCCTGATGGGCAGAAAAAAATGCGAAAACTAAAATCAAAACATTTGCAAAATTATAACTCGCTACGTGGGCTTCCCTGCATCTTCCGGGAAAATACAAATCCTACAAGTCATGTGTGATTGACTAAAAATTCAGGCAAGTACACATTTTCCTGTTGACCAAACAGTCAGTTGTTCTCTTGTATAACAATTTAACAAACTATCGATGATTTTAACACAACTAAAGCTCCAAAACGTACCCTGAAATGCCAAAATTTCCCCAAATACCAATCAAAATCCCTAACCACGCAAAGGTCAGATGCAACTTCAAGTAATAATTTACACAAAAAATAACAAAACTTTAATTGAAAAGCAACTACGACCTTTGAGTGGGGTCCTCATCAGAGTGAAAGTTTCCACGAGAACGACCCATATCGTTGTTTCCTGAAGCTGCGAGAGCTCGCGAGCAGCACTACCACCAGCTTGGCTGCTTTAACTGTGCCTGTTCAAACTTCAAACGCACGTATATATCCAAGAAGCCTTCTTCAACCCCCAAAAATTCGAAAACTGTAAATTGAGTTCGACAGTTTCCGAATTGGGATCAAGGGGTCAGTTCAGAAATTCAGACATTGGTGAGATTTTCCCTCTTCTCTGAAGACTTGGGGAATCGGGTTTTTTTTTGTGGCATAAAAAGCTCAAAGCTTTCAGGGGCTGCAAATAATGCCCGGCTTTGAATTTTTGTGTAAATTTGACTATTGAGTGTAGCGCACTAGTTCAGCCAACAGCATCCTTTCCGGATCTTTGATGAGGGTTATGCGAATTCGTAAATGATATCTTTTTATCGTATATTGTACGGTTAATTTTTATTAAATTTTATATTTAATATTAAATAAAATTATTTTAAATAATTTATGATCGCAGATATATAATAAACAGTTAAAATTGACGGATCTCTAAAATCCTCGCAAAGAGGATCCGAATTCAGTTTCGAAACTGGGTTTGTGGGGACTTTGGTTTGCTCAACTTTATCCTTTTTGAAATGCAACGACACCGTCTAGTAAGGCATCTAATGGTATTTCCGTAATACAGAAACGGAACGAGGGGGCTTTGCAACTAACACAATCAAACAAAACCAAGGCGGACGGCGCGGGTGGCGCAAAAAAATTTGAATTCAGACAGCGGCAAAACACCCGGTGCTGACAGAGCCACGTGTCACTCTGCTCCATTCCTCTTCTTTTCAAAAACTCATCCAAACTGCACAGCAGTAGTAGTTGCTCAGTCCCTCCTTCTTCCTCAGAAACCTAGCAGAGCAGAAGAGTAAGTTTGTAGCTTGCAATGAAGCCCTCATCGCGGTACAGCTCGTACGATGCGCGTTCCTCGACCTCCTCGCACTTCTCCGACCCCTCGTCTTCCACAGAGCTCAAGCTCCCCATTTCCTCACGCCCCGTCGTCAAATCCAAGCCCTCGGATCCCAATATCTCCACGATGGTGAAAAAGTTCATGGAAAAGCGGTCGACTTCCAAGGCCAAGCCGATTAACCCGACGGGGCTGGTGATTCCGTCGGATCTGATCGTGGGCGGATTGAAAAAGCCGGCTAGAAACGGGTCGGGTTCGAATTTCGAGGCGCTGGGGAGGAAGCTGTTTGGGAAAGGAGCAGGAACGACCTCGTCCGATAAGAAAAAGGAGGTGAAGGCGTTGACTGAGGTAAAGGGGAACACCAGGACGCTGGCCATGGTGTTGAGGAGTGAGAGAGAGCTCTTGAATTTGAATAAGGAGCAAGAAGTTGAAATTGTCCAGCTTAAATTGATGATTCAAGAAAAGAACAGAGAAGTGAGTTTTATCCCTTACTAATTCTGTTCAAAATATTGATAGTTTTGCATTATTTCTTTGTTCAATCTATGTCTGCATCTATGAAGTAGAAATTAGTGTCGCAAATTTCAAATGTTTCTGTAATTATATCTTTAAAGCTTGATTTTTTGAAATTATTTGTCAGTAAATTGAAGATCTTTCTGAAAATTCAACAGGTTTACAGCTATAAGATTGGACAATTAATAGAGTGCGATTTTTGAAAATTTAGGAATTAAGAAACTAGGAGCAAATTTCAAGACTTTTTTAACAATGAGGCAGTACAGTTCTGATTTTTTGTGATAAATTGGCGGATTTTGGTGCCACTTGTAGATAATGAGGCAGTGGGGTTGTTTGGAAATTGCAGGTGGATAAACTGAAGGATTTGTGTTTGAAGCAAAGGGAAGAAATCAAATCTTTGAAGAGCGCAATTTTGTTCCCGGATGTTATGAATTCTCAGCTTCAAGAGCTGTTGGAGAAGCAGGGGTCAGAACTGAAGCAAGCAAAACAAGTAATCCCAAATCTTCAAAGGCAGGTTTGTTCTCTTACTGGTCAGCTTCAGTGCCTTGCAGAGGATCTTGCAGAGGTATTACCATCAACCTTTTCCAGTTCTTAATTAAACCTTCTATGTCATATTGCAATTTACTGTTAGAGGATTCTTTAGGATGAAAATGCATTGAATTCAGTCTCGTTTGGTTGTTGTTTAGTCCATAGGTAGTTGGTTTGATAATCGTACTTGGGTTATTCACTTGGAGTTGCTTAATAATTCATGGTGTTATTCGACCTTTTCCGGGTGCTGGATAGTTGTTTGTGTAAGAGGTGTCATGTTCATCTGTTAGATGGAACCTTATGTTTTGTTATATGTGGAATATTATGCATATTGTATTCAAGAAACCAAATGCTGGTGTCTGACGAATGTTATATATTGATTAATTTGATTGAGCAGGTGAAGGCAGATAAAGGTTCAGTTAGGGCATGTTTTCGACGTGATGACACTTCTCCAAGCACTCCAACTTATGATGACAAGGAATACTCTAATTCTCATGTAAGTACACCTTATGCTAGCAATCGTTCTTTATATCAGTCAATAGAGTAACAACTTTGTTTTCAATGAGTTTTTAAGTAACAGAAATTGGTAGCAAATTTGTGGTGGTTTTAAGTCATTTTACAAATGGCGATTGTCAATAGGACTTAGATGATCTTAGATTTCATTTCCTCTTTCCTTTCCAATAATAATCTGTTCATTCAACCAGGAGTTCAGCTCTGGTGAACCAGCCAGCCCTGGTAGTCCAGATGACATGTTCCTGAAGGATTTGAATCCTTGCTTGACCCCATTTCCAAAAACAAAGTCCAAGGTGACACAATATTTTGTTTTACTTATTATGTGTTCCGTTGGTTTTACTCGTGTCTTAAATGACTCATAAACCCTACATGCTTTTCAAGGTTGATTGCAAATCGTAAATGTTAAAATTATGGTTGATCTTTTGCAGGAATTTGACGAGATGGGCTACAACTCCCCATATCGACATGATGAAAGCTTATCTGAAAAAAATATGGAGTTTGGATTTAACTCTTGTTCCAGGAAGTTGTCCAAAAGCTCTGATTGTTGCCAGAAGACGGAAACAGAAAGCAGAATAGCACAAGGAAATCGGAGATCGGGTGATGCCAAACCAACTTATGGAAAACAAATTCACCGTAGATTTATCTAGATCAAGGTCATATTGTTTCTATTAGTCGTTTGTTTCCTTCTGTTAGTTTTCCGTCTTTCGGTTCATCTTGGAAGTATTTACTCTGTCAGCTTATACACAAGGTTTACTGTCTGAAAGGTGAAAGTCATTTCACAGTAGAAAATTTTGTACATGCACTTGAAGAGCATGAATAATGAAGAACTGAAGCTTTGCGGATTCCTTTATCTGCTATATACTATCTATTCTGTGCCAGTAACGAGTTTCCTTGAGTTCAATCCATCAAATTACAATATCTTTAGCATTCTTTACTGAACGGACAATAAACAACAATAGGAATACATTCGTCCACAAGACGGAGAAATTTATTTGAATCCACGAGATTGATGTTTGATTCACTTAGCTACTTATAGATGACCCATTGTCATACTTAATTACTGCATCAATTCCATGGCACCTAATGTAAGAGTTCAGGCAAATATTTGGTGTGACAATATGTGCATTGTTGACAGCGAAATTGGGTCTCCCGCGATTGTTGATTCTGATCATCTTGTTCTCAACGCCAGATGGAATGAGACTCCCTGTCGGAAAATGTAGAAAGTCATTCAATAGGAGAGGCATTGGAACAGCATGGCTGATCAAGAAATCTTCAAGATGGTCTATTGATATTGGGGATGCTGATAACTCTGAGTCACTAGGCATCAAGAAAGTTAAGGTTCGGTATGGCTGTGATGTGGCATTTAGCATCTGCAGAAGAATGGCAAATCCGTAGTAAGACTTTGATCGCATATCCGTCACTGCTGCCTGCACATCAGTGGAGTTGAGAGCGTGGACCTGCAGGGAGGGTGCTGATTCCCAGAGCAGGAAGAGAACGACGAGGATGAACAAAGACCTTCGATCCATTATAGAGTACCTAGAGACAGAGAGAATACGTTTTAGGAGATGGAGATTGGAGGGTAAGGATAGGACTGAATCCTCAAGTTATATATGTTAAACCCAGAGAGGAACAAATCGAAAAATATAGGCATGAGTGCTTCATGAGATTCTATTTTATTAGAATTTAGAGACAGTTTGAAGGTAGGTAATGCATGAGGAAGCAACTCTCTTGTAAATTTGAATTATTTTTTGGCACAGATGGGATCAGTTGGCTGGCTTGATGACCTACTAATTATTTGTCAATTGTAGCACATATTCTACCAACTTTCACCCATATGTCTGATTTTTCGTGATTAACAGTGCAGTTGCAAAAGCTCCCGCTTACCGTCGAAGTTCTTAGAAAAAACCGTGCAATGATTTACATGTTATTCAACTTTCTCAAAACTACAAACTTAGCGTAGCCAAGTTGGCTAGAACAATGTATATCCCTTTATTGGCACCAATATGTTCAAAATCTTTCGCGCCAAAGATTAGAATATGGCTCGAATCGAAACTTGATCTGATCTAAAGATGAGGGCATTTTAGGCATTGTAGAGAAAGTAAGGCTTAGCTGAGATTGATCTGTAATTTCGTGGAAGAGAAGGAACGTATATAGTATTAGCATGTTACTTCAACTTTTTCAAAAGATGAGAGTGATGCTGGGCTGTCTGGCTGTCGCTGGAGATCTTTGAAATCCCACTTACAAATGTGGAGTTAAAGCTCGTGGAACCGGACAGCTTCCGTTGAACAATCATGTCTTCTACTTTCCTTTGGGTTCTGCTACCTCTGCTATTTTTGGCTCTAACTCCACAAAGATCTGGTATTATTCAGTTAAAGTAATCATTATCTGTTAACTTTTCGTTATAATTTCCTCAAATTTGATTTATTGTGAAATGAAACTAGGTGGGCAGCTAGATCAGGAATGGTGCATAGCAGATGAGCAGACCCTGGATGAGGAGCTGGAAATGGCAATGAAGTGGGCGTGTGAAGCGGGAGGTGCAGACTGCAGCAAGATACAAGAAAACCAAGAATGCTTCTGGCCTAATACTACGCAGCACCATGCCTCTTATGCCTTCAACAATTACTATCAAAGATTCAAGCAGCAAGGAGCAACTTGCTACTTCAATTCTGCCGCATTGGTCACTGCCCTTGATCCAAGTAATAATTCTTGAGATTTAAACTCTCTTAATTAGCATGCAGTTGTTTCCACTTGCTTAGATCGACGATATTTTATTTCAAGTTCCTCTACTTTACAGAGAGGAAAATTCGAACTAAGTTGCAATGGAACATGTACATTGTTTTGGGCAACTGACCTAATTCTGTGCTCAGATTGATCCTTCAATGAGTTACTATTCATTAGTTTGTTTGATATTTAACAAATACCATAATTCTTTCTTCTTTTATCTCTTTTAATTGCAGGTGATAATTCGTGCAAGTTTGAGTATCTTCCTTGAGGAAAAGCTTGGGAAGATTTGCAGTCAAAGTTTTTAAGATTTGCATTTGTGGGATCACATACAGATCCAATGAATTTTTGTTTTTTTAATTTCTATTCAATGAGCGTTGCCATAAATTTATTTTCCCAAAAATGTTGTGATCTGATCGATGCATTGACTCCTCGCAAATTTTGGGTGGGCTATGCATTAAACTAGATAGTGGCCTTTGGATTCAGACACTAGGCCCAATTAATTTTTCTTATATATATAAAGGCCACGTTTTCTGCTTTCCGAATCACAAAAAATATTTGGGCCGGTATCAAAAAGGTTGTCCATAGCCATGTTTTCGCAAAAACTTTCCCCCGAGAAATTGAACGTGCGCATTTAAGCTGCCTAAGATGATGTGTCACATAATTTTAAATATGTTTTAGTTCACTTAAATTTGAATATCACTTACATAAAAAAGAAGGTGAACTTATTTGCGGCCTTCCTCTCCCCCCCACCCCCGCCCCCCCTCATCAAAATTGTGTTTTTGCCAGAGCCCTACAGGGTCAAGTCATACCTCCTCTCCACTCCATCCCTATCTCTCTCGAACTCTCAAGTCTCCATTAACCATTTTCTGGTGCGGCTCATCATAGTATCATCATCTGATCGGATTGCATCGTTGCGTGCGCTCGCTCGCTCTCTCTCTCTCTCTCTCTCTCTCGCTTGTTGCACAGCACGGATCCCAACCGTCCTTTTAGATCTCAAGCATGTTTCAATATCATCAATAAAATTCATACCACCGCCCACATTAGGAGAAGAAAATATAGATTAATCCATTATCCCACACCATGCACGTTTATTGCTTATATAAGAACTTTTTCACCAATAATTAGGAATTAATACAATACAAAGGTCTTTGTGTAATCTTACGGATTATTAGAAGCTACTCCCGTAAGTATGGCTGGTGCATAACTAGCTACGTACTAGCTAGGGCATAGCTCATTCTTGTTTGCTTCTCCAAGAAACTTGCTTACGAGTCAATCTAATCGTGCATCTTTAAAACAGTAAGAACAACTTTTTTTAAACTAAAATGCCACGCACGGTAATGATATATATATATATATATATATTGGTCATGTATCGTCAAAATTAGAAGCATGATTATTGATGACCATGATGATGAATAAATTTATCCTCCAAAACTCATAGCTAGTAATATGTGAATGAAACACAAAAACAAGTAAACCACCTTACCGACCATCGATAATTCGAGAGGGACAACCAGTAACACTAAACCACTAACCAAATCCAAAACAAATAATTCAAATAAAATGACCCACCATCACCATGCATAATCATTCTTGTACCATTTACATTCATCAGCATCTTTTGTTCTTAATTTTTCTTTAATTTCGTTCTTATTTTCTTTCTAGCTCTTCATGATTGTGCACCCAGAAGAAAAGAAGAAAGCGGTCATCATGAATTCCACCAGGACCAGCAATAGATATCATTTAATGGTAGAATTTAAGGCCCTCACCTTATCTCACGACCTTTCTCGGAACAACTATTGCGGCCTCTACCTAGAAACAGAGAGATTTTTTAGGGTGATGGCGGTATATTACGTATTTTTATATAAATAATGAGATATATGTGTTAAAAGATTAATAACTTAAAAATTAAAATTTTCATCATTTACATTAAAACATATAATGAACCATCCGTATTTCCATCACAATTAAAAATTTCTTTTCGAAACAATTTAAATTAGAGGGAAAAAAAATAAAGTATTGCCTCTTGCTTTTTAAAATAATTGTGGAAAGTCTCCTACCTAGGCACTATGGTTCTGCATTTTACATTTTCAAGAAAGAAAGATCGAAGTGGCCTTAATTGCAGTCAAAGTTTTGAGTCTAATCAAGTTATGTGACGAGACAGACTAAAAATATATATATATACAACCGATTACATAATATAAATAACAAATATTCTAAATATAAATTTTAAAAGTAATGAAAAAGATTTATATAAAACAAATACTTTTGCAATAACGTTATAGGTTAATAAAATAAAAATATATTTTGTCCACATATATTCTTATTTTATTTATACAAAACACGAAATATTAGAATTGAGTAAAAAAAAAAAGGCATTAAATCATTTAATGCCCGTCATTAAGTGGATGATGAGGTGCCCTTTACTCCTTGGTCTAATAGTCTTTTGCTTTTCACCACTTGGCAGGCCTTTGCATGCTGGCAGCAAAGATCCTAGTTAGAATCAGATGTTATTTAAAATGATATAAAAATATAATATAAAAAGATAGTATGAATATAATTACAGTAGTGCAGTGGAAGTAGATGTTAGGTGGGTGAGTGATGATAGTGTATAATTGCTGGGTCTGAGCGGGGTGTTGTGCTGGTTTTAGACTTTCTTCTTCGTGCTCTTTTTTCAACTGCTTCTCAAAGCACTTGTAGTTTTAGGCTTTTGGCAGAGTAAATTTTTGGGGAAGAAGAATGAGCTACTTGGGTGTTGGTGTGAGTCCTGGGAAAGTTCCGGTGTATCACAGCACCAACTTAAAAGTGATTGATCGGAGGGTGAGGGTGGCCGAGTTGGTTTTGAGGTGTGTAATCTGCGGTCTAGGAGTTGTTGCTGCTGCTCTTGTAGGGACTGATACTCAGATCAAAGAGATCTTCACTGTCCAGAAGAAGGCTAAATTTACAGACATGAAAGCTCTTGTGTACGTACATCCCGAATCCTCCTCCTCATCTCACTCTCTCTCTTTCTCTGGATGGTCGTATTATGTATGATAGGGAAATAATTTTTATTTGTTCTTTAAGTTTCTTTGATTTATTCAACCTGATCACTAGAAATAAGCAATAACTTGCGAAAATCACTTCTGTATTGAGAATTTTCTTCCTTTTCCTAGCTATTTGAGTTATTTTAATTTACCTAATTTTATTTTTATAATATAGGTTTTTGGTGGTGGCTAATGGGATAGTTGCTGCCTACTCTTTGGTGCAAGTGATGCGTTGTGTTGTGAGCATGGTTAGAGGCAATGTGCTCTTCAGCAAGCCCATAGCTTGGATCATTTTCTCGGGCGATCAGGTAAACTTAATCGATTATTTACATCTTAAATTACTAAGTAGCTATTTTTAGAGTTAAAAAGGACGAATAACTACTCAACTTTAGGGGCCGACAAGGATTTAGAGCTTCAAAGATGACGATTAGTGAAAATCAGCTTCAAGTTTTATCCACTTTATCACTTAACATTAATGACGTCATCACTTAACGCTCATAACATTGTCACTCAGCGCAGATGGGTTAACGGTTGTTAATTTTCAATATTTTAAGTCCTTATTTAGAAGGGTAATGTCAGACTAAATTTGTACATAAAGTTTTAGAAATTAAGAGGCATGAAAGTTGATAATTGATTTATTACTTAAACATTTATTAACGTGTTAATTTTCAAATTTAGTCTTCAAATTTAATTTTTTTAGCATTACCTGATTTAAAATATTTTAAAAGATTGAAACCAATTTAGAATCAATCCCCTTTTAATTAGTTATGCGTTATCTTCTTTTTTTTTTTTATATATACAAATAAGTAGCTCCTTTTATTTCGTCCTACTAATTATAACTATTATTTGTGGGTAGTTTTTGGCGTCTTTTAAGTCCATTCAGTGTACTCATTGACTTGAGGAAGTAGTTTATACCTACTCCTGTGGAAGGAGAAGAATTCCCTCAACGAACGGATGTCTTTGTGACAATATTTCAAGACAATCTCTTGTAATTGATTTGAGATACCTTTATACTGATATTTTCGACATAGATATGCATGTTATACTGTATCAAGTTTGTGATTGTGCATTAACCTTGCAAAAATAAACTGTAGTCAGTCAGCAGAAAATCCTTACCTACTCTTAATTAATCAGAATTTAATACTTAATTGATGTGTTAAAGAGGTGTAAGCAATTTGTGTGTGTAATGTAGGTGATGGCATATGTGAGTGTAGCAGCAGTAGGAGCTGCGGCACAGTCGGCGGTGTTTGCAAAGTTGGGACAGCCAGAGCTGCAATGGATGAAGATATGCAATATGTATGACAAGTTTTGCAACCAAGTTGGGGAGGGAATTGCCAGCGCATTATTGGTCAGTCTAAGCACTGTGCTGCTCTCTTGTGTTTCTGCTTTCAATCTCTTCCGCTTGTACGGTGGCAACAAGAACAAGACCGCCTCCAGGTGGTAGGCCGGCCGGCTTTACTAGTAGGACCCACCAAGAGTCCAAGACCAACCAGTTGCATGTAACTAAAAGACTAGTCTCCTTTTACTTGGGAAATTGATGGCCTTGTTCTTGTGTGTGATGTCATGATGTGATCGATATATATATATGATTGAGAAACTGTAGGCTCTTTACTGTCTTTGAATGTTAAAATAAAATTGAGAGCTCGCTAGGTTCTTGTAGAGTTTACATTTTATGCGGTTGTTCTCCTGATGAATTATATCTACTTTGGAGTTTCAGTTATTATGAAGGTGAGGTTCTGGGGAGAGATTGCTTGGTATCTGCTAACAGATGTAAACGTTTTCGTTTGTATTTAATGAAACTTTAAATTTTTCGTTCGTATTTAATGAAATTTTTATCGTTGAAAAAAAAAAAATGAAACACCCTTTTATCCCTCAAGTAGGCCTGTAAGTTGGGCCGGATCGGACCGGAAGAGTAGCTGCTAAGGCCCTGTCTGGCCCTAAAATTTTTACCCAAGGTTAAACGATCCGGCTCAGGTCGATTCTATTGAAAATAGTAAGGCCTAAGTCTTAGCCAGAGCCTGCAATGAACATCTGCAGAACATTTTCCCAACTGATCATGGAATAGATATTGACAAATGACAATCACAATAGTGTTTCTGATTTATAGCTTAATCCCTATGAAATTTAAAAAAAAAAAAATCACTAAAAGGGAACTACTTTTATTAGCACTTCAAAAAACTTTAATAGAGATTTTTTTCTTTCTAGATATAAAAATTTTGAAGCATACAATTAGACTTTTAAAGTACCAATAACAATTCTTAATCAAAATTACGACTTTATTTGAAAATGAATTCTTTTTTTCAAAATGGGTTTTTGTGATATGGGGCTGCAAACATTTGCTCTCCTCATCAGAAAACCCCAAAGCCAGTGGCTCATTGATAATCATTTCGTTTTTTATTTTGGCTTTAATTTT